AAGAATCATGTGTTTTCCAGCTGAGGGCATTCCACGACCCTGGAGACTTATATATTATCGAGCAAGGAAGATATTTGACCCAAATAATTACAAAGGAAGGTAAGCAAGTAATAGCTCCTGAGGCTTAATTCCAGTCTCTGGTATTTATTTGTACTTCAAAAGATAGAGCTGAAGATCATCTCTCCCGCTTATGCCAGTGATTTAATTGACAGTTCACTTTTTCTGATCAATTCTTATCAATTACTCTGTACTGAAGTATGTCTTGAAGGGACAGCGGTAGGTAACATTTTAGTGGATGCTGCTTCTGAAGTACTGCAGTAGTTTGAGTTTGCAGCTGAAGCTTTGCCATTTCTTCTAGGTATACTAAGGAGGAAAAAGAAAAACTGAAGAAGTACCATGCTATCCATGGCAATGACTGGAAGAAGATTTCGGAGATCATGTCCCGTTCAAACCTCTCAGTTGCTATGAAATACTCCGAAATCAAATCGGGCAAGTAATTTTAAGAATCAAGTTTCAGTTTGTGTATTGCAACTTGAACAGTTATTGTGTTGTCTGTTTTGTAGTCGACGGGCAGAACTGACCCTCTTAAATTTATGGGATGCAGAAGAGCTTTTGGGAAGCATGTTAAGAAATTGTTCCAAAAAAAAAAAGAGTTCAAAACAAAAAACCCCACATATTTCAGTTTGTATTATATTTTTTCCCTCTAGCCAGTTATGATAAATTCTGCCTTAGCTATGTAATCTTTCTCACCTTTTAATTTTAGCTATTAATTATGGTCCTTGGACTAAGGAAGAAACACAGAAGCTAATGCACGCAGTAGAGGACGTGATTAGGAAAAGATCAAAATTGGAAGCTGAAAAATCTTCATCAGAAAAGTCCCGTAGAAATCTCTCAATTGACCGTGAAAAGCTCTACCAGAAATTACCATGGACTGAGATTGAAACTAAAGTGGGAACTAGATATTGGAGGCAATGTAAACAGAAGTGGTAAGGTCTTGCATTGGATTTAAATATCAGAATGTGTTTTGGGTAATATTGTCTGACTTCATTTTGGAAAACTGGTTGTACTGTAATGTTTGCAGGTAAGACTATTAAGAGTCTGTAGAGCACAGAACAGGTGGTTGCAAATGTATTTCTCTCCAAGAGATAAATAACTTGACTGTGGCTTCTCTGTGGCAGTGGTACCACTTTTAAGTTTTGTATCTTTTGATGATTTGAATTTCCTGGGGAGGAGGGAAAAAAAAAGTATGTTTTTCTTTTCCTGTTTTCAAAGGAATTCAATTTTAACAAACAAGATGAGCAGAGGGCAGCAGTTATACAAGGGGACCAAAGGATTACAGGCCAAAATCAATCTTATTAAAAGGTATCTTTCAGCGTCGATGTGATGTTTTTATGTTCATAAATGCTTACTGTTTGAGAAAGGCATGCCATGTAGTTTTATAGTGATTTCACAGATGCTTTATTTTTTGACAAAATGCGTTGTGGCTTTTGAATGGGTTAAGATGTCAATATTATCAAAACAGTTCTGCAATTTTTTCCTGTATTACATTCTCAGGTTGTATGAAATGAAAGTGGAGGATGCTAATGACGTCAACTGGGAAGAACTCAGTAATGCTATTGGGTAAAAACTTTCTACTACTTTTCCTTTAGATACAGTACATAATTGAGACAACCTGCCTTAAACTCTGTAAGGGAATCCATATGTCTATGCAGTTGAAATTATGGAAAATGTTTGTTCAGTGCTACATAAGGATTACAACTGTGGTTACCAATGAACCATACCTATCAGTGCTGAAATAGTTGTAACCACTTCCAGAAATTGTTGTGGTTTCCTAATGTTTTCTACATAGGAGAACTGGTAGCAATGAGTATTCTCTGTTAAGGTCTTTTATTGAAGACTTTTTCAAGTGTTAGTCAACAAATAGCACATTTTTCCATAGAATATTTAATTTTACTATTTCTTCTTATTAAGCATGTGATAAATGTGCTTAATGTCCAGTTGAGTTTAGGTGCTTACTTTTAAGGGGAATTGCTCAATTGGCAGAGTTTTTGTTAGGATATCAAATGTGTCCTTTCTGCTCAAAGCTAGCAGGTTGCATGACTGGAATTATTCTCATAAATGGATAACTGAGTAGTATGGAGACTTTAAAACAGATTGCACCTACTAATTCTTTGAATGCTTCTCTTTTCAGAGATGTCCCTAGAGCCTATGTTCAAGCCAAATTTTACAGGCTAAAGGTCTCCTGTGTCCCTCTTTGGCAAAGAAAGACTTTTTCTGGTCAGTATCCCTGATATTTTTATGTATTCCTTAAGGTGAGATTTTTGATTAAATCCTAAGTGGGTAAATATACCATTTAGTTAGCTTTATTTTAAATAAAGTTTGTGAATTTAGCCATTTTATATCTATTTTACTGAACATTTTCTTGTTGTGGCTTTTTCTCTGTATTTTAATCAAACCAGAAAGGGTGGGGAAGAAGGTCAAAATGCCTGACTGTAGTGAGAAACCTGTTGTTTTCTGAAAAGGCGAAGGTTCCCTTAAGAATACTTTTTTTTTTCTTTTTTTTCCAAGAAATTATTGACTATCTTTATGACAAGAAACTTCCAGAACTTGAAGAAAAGTTGAAAAAAAAGAAGCAACCCCTTGGTTCGGACAGCCCATCAGCCAGTCAACAGAAAAAGGTTTTCCAGCTCAGTGAAATTTTTGACTCGAGTGAAGACAGTGATAATTGATGGTCTTAACAACTCCTAGATTGTATATCTAAGATGCCAGATGCACCCGATTGAAATTGGACACAGATGAATAACTGCATTACTGTCAAGTAATGGAAGAAGCAAAGACAGGAATGCCTGCTTTTCTTGTTTCATATTGAAGACTGAGGTAAATACAGCTTTCGTATCGCCTTTTATTGCTAGGAATTTCTTTGTTTTAGATTTTTTTTTCTTTTTCTAAAGAATCCTGGTTGTTTTTCTTCAAGACACAAAACGACTCAAAAAAAGGTTTTTTGGGTTTTTTTTTTTTTTTTTTGCCTTTTATTTATGTTCTGTGGAGTTGGAAACCGCTCTTTTATGTGTGCGTTTGGTTTTCAGCACATGGAAAAAAATATCTTTTTTCTTTTTCTAAGGAAAAAAAATACTTGATCAAGAAGAAGGCTTTCTATCTGCTTTTAGAAGTGTTGTGCAAACCAGAATGATGCTTTTAGAATGTTTTAATATTTGGGATACAGAAAGAAAATGGACAGTATATATTTTTTAATTATGCCAAGGAAAATTTCTACATCTTAATATGGAAACTAAGTCCTAAGGTGGAAATTGTACACATGTTTGTATGATATTTTTAACCCTTTGCCTAATTATTTGTAAATTGACTGTGTGAATGTAAAAATCATCTTCCTATGCATGTAAAGTATTCCTTGGGCTTGTTTCTATTTCCTATAAAGTTTCAGTAGAAAGCAGTACCCCACGAGTGGAGTTTATTTGTGATGTTTCTGATTCTTCGTATGGATAAGTGAAAGAAATGTCCTTTAATTGCATAGAAAGTAAGAGATCCAAACAAAGGCCTGCTTTGAGGCTGAGAGTCATTTACAGGAAAACATTACCAGGAAGCAGAGCCCTGCCTGAGGCAAACAGACAGGCGGTTGTGTTTTAGGGCTCTCTTCCCTCCTCCTCCAAGCACTGAGGCATTTAACACTGCCAAAGCTTTGTGTAGCGGGCTCTGTGTTAAATAAAAGCAGGACTGCTCCTCCAAGCTCCCCAGACCATTAACTGAGCCTAACAAAGCTGTAGCTTTCGGGGCATATTCCGGGCTTGCAGGATGTTAGGAAAACGAGGCCTGACTGTGGTGTTGTCAAGGGCGGCAGCCCTGCTCCGAGGGCTGGGTCCAGCAAGAGGCACCTCAAGCGTGACAGCTGTTACGGAGACCGCAGCGGCAGTTTCTTTAGGGGCAGCAACTCCCTCAATAATAAAAAAAAAAAAAAAAAATTGGATAAAATCTACAACACTGCCCTGGGGTCCCTGGGAGGGGCACAAGGGGAAACGTGCAGCAGCTGCTAATAGCACTTATTATTTTAATAGTAAAAAAGTATTTAATATTAAAAAAGCCCTTCTGCTGCCCCCTGCTCTGCGACCTCTCTCGCACCTCACCCTTCATTGCCCCATGTGACTGCCTCCTCGCGCCTTCCCCCTCACTCCCTTCCCCCCCCCAGTTTCCCTCTCGCCCCCGTTGCCGCGTGAGGCGCCTTTAAGACTCGCCCCTCGCGCCTGGCCCTTTAAGGCGCCCCCCTCCCCGCCCGTGTGGGCGGGGCCTCGCGGCACCGCCTCCGCGTTCCCGCTCCGCGCGGAAGCGAGCGGGGCGGCACTTCCGCCGCCGCGCCGGAAGCGAGCGGGAGGCGCGGCCTGAGGCGGGGCCCATGGCGGGGCGGTAGCGCCGCGAGGTGCGCGGGCAGCAGCCGCCCCCCTCGTCCCTTCCTCTCCCTCCGCCTGCCGCGCGTTGCGCCCGCTCCCGCTCACCCGTCCCGGGGCGGCTCCGCCGGGAGGGGCGCCGCGCTCTCGCTTTCGTTTCCCCGCCGCGCGCCGTTGTTCCTGTCTCGCCAAGCGCCGCGGGCTGCGCTCGCCGCCAGCGGCACCGCGCGGGCCCGCGGCCCTCGCGTGCGCTCCGTCCAACGGCCCCGGGGCTCGCTGCAGGCCGGGGAGGCCGCGCCGCAGCCCGCGGGACGCGTCGCTTTTGGGTACAAAAAAAACCCGCGCGAAACGCCTCACTTCGGTAAACACCCGCGCTTCGGGTAAACCACGGGAACATAAACACCCGCAGAGGCCTGCGGCGGGGATCTCCTCCGCGTTGTTCTGCTGTTGCGGGGGAGCTGCAGCTCCAGCGCTCCGGAGCGCGCCCGGTTACCGGCGCCCGTTCGGCGGCCGCGCTCGCCTGGCCGGCCATGGCCGGCTGAAGGCGTCAACCCCGCGCGCCAGCGGCGGGACAGCGCGGCCGTGGTCCCCATCATGTGAGCCGAGACACCTGCGCCGCGGATCGCTTCATTTCCCAAAGGTAAAGTCACGTCCGCACAGTTTCGCTTTGTTTACACCTTCCATCTGCCTCGCTGATCCCAAACACGGAGCCGTTACTGTTGCTCGTTTTCTGTAGACCAAGCGTTCACCTGAGCGCTTCCAAACACTCATCTGATACTACCTTGTTGCTGCTTGCAGAAGGAATTTTGGTTTTCCAAGCGGGAGTATCAGAAAGCTATTGCTCTCAGCTGTCCCAGGGAAGTAATAAAAATGGGAAAGTTTGGAATAGATGCTCAGTGCTGTTGACAACAGGGATTTACTGACCTATAAATTGTAGGAGAGGATTCAGGGAAAATGCTAATTAAGTTTTGCCCTCATTAGGCCTTGGTGCTTCCCAAGTAGAAGCAAAAAGCTATAAAAACCCCTCCCTTTGTAGGTGTTGGAGATATGATCTGGACGTGAAATTTTTTGGTAGGTAAAGTGGGTTCTCGAACACTGTAATTATACAGCCTGCAAATTACATGTGACTTCTTTTCAGGACTTCTTATTTTCTTATTTCAGGCCATTTTTCTGCCTTTTTATGTAGATGCTGTAGTTAATTTTTTTGTTTAATTGCATGCATCTATGCGACGCAAACCAAGAGCATATGCATGCATGTCAAAAATTACATGCGTAGCGTTGAGAATTAGGTACCCCTGTGGCTGAAAGGAAATAACTTGGGCCACTTTTAGCCTTAGGAGTTCTGTTATTCCCTCTTGTCCCTAAAGAATGAGCACATGTCGCTGGTGCACACCCAGTGGTTCTGATGCCACCGAGTTCCTGAAGAGCTATGCGTCTAAGCGGCTGTCCCAGGAAGAACTGGAAGGATCCAACGATGATCTCTGCTACTGCCTGGAGTGCGTGGTTGAATACCACAGAGCGAGGGAGAAATTGCCAGGCTTGCACGAGGTAAATAAATTGCCAAGCTTGCACGAGGTTTTCGTTTTTCAATCTCAATTTTCTCTTATATTTGAATGTCAAAGAGGTTTGACTATTGCCATTTATTGAGGTTCAACGGCCAATGAAAACTCAGGGTTGTTGTGGTCTGGCTTTGGTGAGAAAGGGATTTTTCCTTGGGGATGAGTTTTACTGTCTTGAAATAAGGTACTTTGTTTTTTAACTGTATTATGTGGGTGTATGTTGAGTTGCATAGAGCCTAGATTAAAACAAGAAGTCCCTCATATGTTTAAAAACTAAAATAGTAATAGGAAGTTACTGACTAGACATTAAAGCTTGAATTTTGTTCATGCTGCAATGATTTTGGCTCTGAAAAAAGGTGCAGACTGTAACAAGTAACTGCTGTATTTTGTAATGCATTTTCTTCCTTTGTTTTCCTTTGTTCAGTTTTGTGGTTTTTCTTCTTTGACTTGCTTTCACTTTCCATTCTCAGTTTTCTGTTATGCTTGACTGTCAGAGCTGTGATCCTGCAGATATATGAGACTGGTTTAAAACCTTTATCTTATAATAAACCTGTTACAGTTCTCCATTTATTAGCATCTAGTTTGATATTTTGGAAAGCTTATTTCATGCGTGTATGTGCATCTCTGTATGTATGTATGTACATAAATGAATGTTCATAGCTGATTAACTTTACTAATGGTGTATGAAAGGTCACTCTTTAAATTAATTAGACTTAACTAAAGTCCAAAGAGAGAAATAGATTGATCTCGAGGGCAATTAATCCTGTCTGATCATAGATAGAAATAACTGGAATGAATCGACTGCTGAAGATGCCTTTCTCTCCCCGTTGAATATAGGAAATAACCTAGACTTCTAATTGAACTTTGGAACAATTCTTCATCCAGCCACTGTTTGCCTTTTTGCATTCTCGCTCTCCACTAAAAAGTTGCAAAATAAATGAGAAAACGAGTTTTTAAAATTACTCCAAAAATTGTTAATTCCGTGCTGCTCAATATGACTGCCCATCCGCTTTTTTGTATAGAAGGACAAAGTTCTGTGATAAATTGACAGCCTGAAGCTCTCTATGAATATTTAACAAAGATGCAGAAACCTGCCCAGTGGAAGTGCCATTTTTTCCCCAATCATTTTATAATCTTAACTCTGAAATTCTGAAGTAAAAGCTCTGTGATTTGTACTATGTGAATTCCATGTAGACCTTTAATGTTTCGTATTGTGCTGGGCCAGGAGGAAAAAAAACTTCCCAAAGTTAAATTTTAAGTTTTGAAAGTCAAGGTTTCTGTCTACGATAATAAATATCCTTAAACCCTACACAGTTCTATGTTGATTAACTGTATATTTCCTCCCTAAATAGGTCCTATGGGAGTTGGAAACTTCCCGTCTCATTGCCCGCATTGAGAAATCCATGAAAGAAGAAGTTGGAGAGGATGATGAATTGTTTATAGTGGATGAGAATGGGGACACGCAGCTGTCTGGTTACGTAGGCCCAGATTTTGAGAATAACTTGCGAGTGCCCCTTCTAGAAATACTGAAGTATCCCTATCTGCTACTGCATGAGAAAGTCAGTAAGTACATATTTTAGTCCATATTCGGAAGGACACCATATTGTTTCTGCAGCAGAAGCAAAAATAACAGTTGTTATACTAAACCCAGTATTTTTCTTTGACACCAAATAGGTTAATTTATGAGCATATGAGTTAGTCCTTGCTGTATTTGCCTTTTATTCTAGGTGAGCTTTGTGTAGAAGTGCTCTGTAGAATGGAACAAGGTCAAAACTCCTTTCAGGTCTTTGAGAAATATCCAGGAATTTATGTCTTCTTGGTGCACCCAAATGAAGTGGTAAGTTGTATTTTTTTGGAATCAGAAGCCTTACTGCTTTTTAGATGTGATCTATTTCAAGAATTTGATGATCTATCTTGTGGTTTTTCCCCTGTAGGTAAGGTAACTCCCTGTGTTTGTTTTTAATTCAAATATCTGTAATGGAACTACGTTGTGTAAATAATGAGCAGAGTTATGTCACCCTGTTTTTTAACCCCTCTTCCTTTCCTGGTCTTTCTCCATCCTTAGAAGCTTTTATCCTTTATTAATACTCAGAACCTTGCAAATTGCAAAGGATGGATTTGGGATTATCTCCAGTTTAAATGCAATGTAGTTGACTGAACAGATTACAGATAATAGTGTAGTTGGCTGAAAGAACTTCCATTAAAATGCACTGTAGTTAAGTGATACATGGAATTGTAATTATCAGGAATCATTATTATGATATTTTTGAGCTATTTTAAGGAATATTAAAAGATGTAGTGGTATTATACTAAATTCTTGACAGTATTCTGTAATGTTGTCAGTGGATCAGCAAATTATTCCACCTTGGAAAGAAATAGTAAGCGTCTTCCTGCAGCTTATATTATGATATAAGTAATGATATAAGTAATAGAGTTTAGTCGTTGAAGTTTACATAATATAAAAAGTGCAAAGTCCAATGGTGCCTCTCTCACGTGAATTCTAAGGAGCTTTATTTGTATATATTTCCTGAAGTTTTAACCTCTTCTTTGTTATCTGTACCTTGTAGTAGGTAGAGGAAAAGACTTGCTCTTACTTGCAGTTCAGTACAAAAACATTTTTATCTCATTTATTTTAGCAGTGATTTAATTTAGCAATGCTAATCAGACAGCATTGACTTTTTTCTCTTTTCACTGATATCTGATACCATTTATTTCTCTTGTTTTAATCTGCAGATTCGTCGATGGGCCATTCTAACAGCAAGGAACTTGGGAAAGGTGGACAGGGATGATTACTATGACTTGCAGGAAGTGCTGACATGCTTGTTTAAAGTTATTGAGTTGGGGCTTTTTGACAGCCCAGATATTTATAGTTCTTCAGTGATTGAAAAGGGTAAACTCATTCTGCTGCCATCTCATTTATACGATACTACCAACTACAAGAACTATTGGTTAGGTGAGTATTTATCATCAGAAATTATCTGTGATCTCTCTTATCTCATGAGCACTTCTTTCAAGAGAAAGTTTTATTATGTAGCTAGGTGCTGTTTCTTCCTTATGGGTGTCAAATGGAAAACCAGAACATTGCACACAACAGTAGGAATTTAATTAGTTTCGGTTCAGTTTTCTGGTCATGATCTTTCACAACCAGGTTATTTCCTGGTTGTGATATTTGAAAAGTGATTCTTGATTTGATGAGACTTCAGACTAAACAAACTTCCACAAGTATAAGAGCAGATTGTTTTTTTCCTGTGTGTGTCTGTAGGTATTTGTATGTTGTTAACAGTGCTGGAAGAGCAAGCTTTGGATTCCTTGTTGCTGGGTCCGGACAAACAGAATGACTTCATGCAGTCTATACTTCACACCATGGAGAAAGAAGCAGATGGTACTATTTTTTTCTGCTGAGGTTACGATAGTTCATAGTCTCTTTTTTATCTTTATGTTTTTGTTTACATTTTTTTTTATCATTTTCTAAAGATCTTATTTAGTTGTGTAAGCGTGTGGCGTGGAAATGCTAAGATGATCGAATTTTACCTGTGAGACTTATTTGTTTCCTTGAAGGAAAGGGGGGAATGTCCTTTAATTCCCCTTAAGGAATGGGGGGATGTCCTTTTTGTTAAAATCTAAAGTTTGAATTTGGAGCCCTAAAACAGGGAAATTCCTTGCTTTGTATTAGGAATACTTAACCTGATTCCTGTTGCTTTCAGACTGCAGTAAGCAGCAGCATCTGTACATATAGGTATTTTTCTTCTGCATGTTTATTGGTTTTTTCCTCTGGATTAAAAATTTAGCTGCAACTTAAAGCAATTATCTCTATTAATATTAAAAAAAGAAAGAAATCAATGAAAACTGATTTACCTCAGCTTACTGTAAGTGTGTGCAGGGCTTTCTGCATTTCAACTCTGCCCGATACTGCTGTTGTGTTTCAGATGATTCTACTGACCCCTTCTGGCCAGCACTGCATTGTTTCATGGTCATTTTGGATCAGCTCGGATCTAAAGTCTGGGGTCAACTTATTGATCCCATCCAAGCCTTTCAAACCATTATCAACAGTGTGAGCTACAACAATGAAATAAGAAATATACGGGATAGCTTTAAGAGGTCAGTTGTATCTTATTAAGAGATTGGAAGAGTTTTAAGTCTTTAATATCTGGTAGTGTTGTAGCTCTGATCTTGTTTTCTTGGTCAGTGTTATTGTAACTTGTGACAGTAGAGGGAAAACATCAGCAAGAAAAATCAAACGCTATCAGCTTGAGTCAATGAAATGATGACGTACATCCTCTAAAATTGTGAAATTATTTTAAAACTACTAACTTTTTTTGACAACCTGACTTTTTTATGAATTTCAGGACATTTTTTTCTGAACCAAGAAGGCTGCTCATTGTTTCATTTTTGCTGGAGTCAGTCAAAGATTTTGTTCTATTTAATCAATCAAAAACAATGCACAGTTGTGAACTCTTTCCTTGAAGCAATTTTTTGCTCTTTATGATAAGTTTTCCAAGGGGTATTTTATTGCTGACAACTTCCAATAGTTACATGTTTCAGTGTTGGAAAAATTAGATGTGTTGGCTGATTAATTGTCTTTTTGTTTGAGTAATTTGTGTGGGGTCTGTAATGATTTGTATTTCTCATTTTAGGACTAAATGTGAGCCACAGTCAGATGATGATGATGAAATGGTTACTTGCAGTCAGATTGTGTATAATTACAATACAGAAAAGCCCCCAAAGGTATTTAAAACTTTCTTTACTTTTTGAAGTCATTCTCAAATGAAACTGTTCAGTTACATCATATGTAAAATATGAAAAGGAAGTTATTCTGTTTCTACAAGGACATTTTTATATGCTTTAAATAAGAAATATTAAGTAATATATTTAACTTATGTATGCTGTAAACAGCAGCCAGTATATAATTATTGTATGCAACAAAATATGTTTTTGTGAAATTGAGAGGAGCAGTATTAAAGCATTAAAATTGGTAGCAAAATTGAAAAAAAAAAGGTTCATGCTTCAAAGGACTTGGTTTTTTTTTCTTTTTAAAGTCCAGTTTATTTGTTACTTTTTGTTTTAATTTATTGACTATGGAGTAATGAAGTATAAATTTATGTACTTGTAAATGTTAGAGCCGGATTCAGAAAAGTCACAGCCTGTAGTAACATTTATTATCTTAAAACAGAAGAAACATTCGTGTGTTCTGCTTTTTAATGTTGGAACACTGTGTTTATAAAGTAATGTCTGAAATGTTTTGAATGTAGCATATTTGAATATTTGAGACTGAATTATGTCAGCATAACAATTTCTGGAAAGCTTTAAAGTGACTTTTAAGGGAGAAATTACTCAACATTTTTGTTTTGTAGGTTCCTCTTCAGCAAATTTTCCTTTTGTGTATACTGGAGTTCCATCTTTGGTAGTTCCCATTTTTAAGATAAAGTAACATTTCTGGCTAGAAAACAATGACAGATCAAACTGTGCAGATGTGAATAAGGAGTATGATACATGGTGAATTTGTTTTTCAGGACACAGGATGGAAAACTGCTATTTGTCCGGACTATTGCCCCAACATGTATGAAGAAATGCAAACGCTGGCTAACCTGCTGCAGTCTGATATCGGCAGGGATATGCGTGTGCATCACAGCACATTTCTGTGGTTCATCCCTTTTGTTCAATCACTTATGGACCTCAAGAATTTGGGTGTGGAATATATAGTAGAAGTCATTCACTACCTCTGCTCAGAAATCCGGGATATTCTCAATGAAAAAATCCAGCAGCGTGACAAAGTCTCTGAATTTTTCGTCCTGATCTTAGTGTCGATTATCGAGCTTCACAGAAATAAGAAATGCCTGCATTTGCTATGGGTTAGCTCACAAGAATGGGTAGAAGCAGTGGTGAAGTGTGCCAAGCTCCCAGCCATAGCATTTTCACGGTGCGCTGAAAAAGCGTCCGGAAACTATCTGAGAGGTTCCTCATCATCATCTTCACAGACTGCTAACTCTGTGCAACACGCTTGCGTGCAGTTAATACGCAGCCTTCTTAGAGAAGGTTATCAAATTGGGCAGAATACTCTATGCAAGAAATACCTAGACCAGCTTAATCTTCTTCTGCGTGGCAGTCTATCCCTAGGTTGGCAGCTGAGCATGCAGGAAACCCAGGAATTACAGTTGTGCTTAAAGAAGGTTATAAGAAATATAAAGGTCAGGGCAATGAATACCTCTGTGCCTGCAGAAACCAGTGCAAGCTCTCCAACTTTGCCCCCTGTTTGTGTAAAACAAGAGAAGAGGACACACGATGATGAATGTAAGATGACTATATCTAGCAGGGATGAACTTTGTTCGCCTTTTGTATCAAAAGGAGTCAGAGATGGAGGTTGTCAGGAGAACCCTTTCCCTAGAAGAAATGATGCTTGGGACGAGGAAGGCAGAGATGCATCTAAATCAACAAGATATATCACTGAAAGGCCTCTTGGGGATACGTATATTAAAAAGGAACCAGTTGAAATGGCAGCACAGGAATATGAATGCCCGCAGAACTCTTTGACAACAAAAATTTGGGGGGAAGTTCAGAAAAATATGGACGATCACCTCGTGTCAGGCAGTAGCAATAAGAGTAGTTGGTTCTGTTCTGATTTTCAAAGAAGTGGAGAGCTGGAAAGTAAATACGAAATACAGCCCATAACGCCAAAGCACCTGGTTGCTCAGACTTCCATTGATTCTCCAGAACGTGCTTGTAACTCGGATGAGAAGGAAAGCAACGTGTCTCCTAACTCTTCCTCCAAATTTAAAATAGATGCAGACAGACTCATGGATGTAAAACAGAAGATGATGAGAACTGATTGGACCTCAAAACTATCGCATCTAGTGAAGCAATCTGACTTGCAGAACAGTTGTATGGCAGCAAATGCTTCAAAAGCTGAAGCAGACCAACTTCAGCAGTGCTCTGACAGTGCAGGCACGAGCAGAGGTTGTTATGGACAGCAGGGAGCGAGTACTGTGTGTGAAAATGCAGTCTCTGTTATTTGTCACGCTTCCAGAAGCTTTGAAAGCAAGCAGGAGAAAAACATGCCCAGTATTTTTCAATCCAGATTGACCTCCATTAAACAAGAGTCAAAAGAGATACTCATAGATTGCTCTCACTCCTCTAAAAATGAACCTGCTTTGCAGGACAGTGAAGATGACCTTTTTTCAGGGATCAGTAGGAATTTAATGAAACAAGGATCCAGAGAGGAAAGATCAAGTTCATTGTTGAAGACTGTATTGAAGAAAAATCTTAATGTGCAATCTGCAGACCAGGAACAGCCTAATTTAAGCAGCTTTATTAAAGAGGACTATAAAGGTCAAAATTTCAGAACGTTCCATGTAGATAAAACTTCAGCAAATGGCCATGTTCCATCTAGCTGTGAAGATAAGGGTGATGTATCTAACAGTGCTTTTCAGATCATTCCACTTTCTATGAAGTGTGAATCGAGTGATGGATCATTAGTTTCAAAATATTTCAAGAAAGAAAACAATTCCGTGGGGAAAAGTGAGGATTTTATGAGGATGGCTTCTGGAGATAGCAGTTTAACAGACTCTGAGGTTGATAGAGACCTCACTAAATTATCTTTAGCTGCATATGCCAAGAGCATCAATTTTTCCATGGATTCGAGCCAAGAAATTTCAGTAGATCATAACAGATGTGACATTAAAAGGAAAGTGAAAGGTGCTGTAAGATCGTCGAGCAGTATCCAGAGCAGCAAGTCTCCCTGTGATAGTCTTGACAATCAAGTCATCATCATTTCAGATTCCTCTGATGGAGAAGAAAACGTGCCTCTTGTCGAACAAGCACCAAAAGAAAATGAAGTTGAATGTCCGGAAAAAAAGCCTTTAACACCCAGCTGCATTTCTGAGAGTGAGACGAAAAATGAATTGAAGACTCCCAGCTCGCCCTTGTTGCAAGAGGAATGTGGCTCTCAGTACTTTGAGTTTGAAACAGAAGATGAAGTCTTCTCGGTTTGGCAAGATACTCAGCTGTATGCTATAGAGAAGACTCAAGAATATAAAACAGATCGTGTTTCAACATCAGTTGGTAGCAGTGACTCAGACAACATACTGAGGGATTATACAAACGAGTGGGGTTATGATACAGAGTACATAAGTGATGATACCATTGAAAAAGAAGCAAGCAAGGTGGAAGAGCAGATGGAGAGTCTCGCTCATCAGAAGGAAGCTGCTAATACAGAAGAAGCATCTAGTTCAACTTTACAAGATTCTATTAGTAAGGGAAACAAGAAAGATCAACTGGAGGATTCTCCAGACAAAAGTGCTGTTGCCAAAGACCTCGTCCCGAGCGCAGAAATGACTGAACCCAAAGCATCTGCATCTAACTTATCGTTAGCTTCAAAGCTGGCCATGAAGAAAAACAGCACGAGCCCACGGATGAACTTAGCAAAAGCTAAGGTGTTGAGAGCTGTTCAAATGAGTCCTAAAAGAACGCTTCTTAAAACTGCAAAAAGTAAAAAACTTTCTCAAAGTACCTCCAAAACCTCTCAGCCCGGGCGAGCGACGCCCGCTGTGGTTCCTCCGAGGAAGATTCGGCAGTGTCCTGCACCAACATCAACTGCAGAAAAACTTGGCCTGAAGAAGGCGCCCCGCAAAGCGTTTGAATTGTCTCAGCGCTCCTTAGAGAGCGTGGCTCAGCTGCGTAGCTATGGTAAAGCTGCTGGGAAGGTTGGAACTGCACAGAGACAGAAGACTAAGTTGATTACTCCCCAGAATTTGTCGGTAAAAAATAATAAAAAAATGTTAGCCTGCCAAGATCTGCAGTTTTTAAGGCAGACACGGCCCAAACACAGCGTCAGAGGGAAAAATCTTGCAGGAAGTTCTGAGGGTAGAAGCAAAAAGGTGAGCAAAGCGGGTGCAAAATCTGTGGAACAAAAGCCGAAAAGTTTTGGCTTGACGTCGGTTGAAGGAGCTGTTGAAAACCAAGGGGGAAGAAAAATGGAGCAGACTTTTGGTCCCTCAACCAGTGAGAGAAAACGAATCGGAGATGGCCCTATGGAGAAGGAGGGAATCCAGACTGCACATGTCTCTAAAGCACCATTTTTTTCAGACTCGAGCAGAAAAACGAAAGAAAACAACATGATGGTTTCTCCTGTACCTATGGATTTGTCTCCCTGTTCTGCTGCAGCTGCTGAAGATGATACAGATAAACCTTCAGAGAGAGGTGATGTTGTCCAGTCTAGTTTTGAGAAGACAACTTCAAAAGAAAACTGGTGTAAATCAAATGATAATAGTGGTGAGGACGACGACGATGATGATTTATTTTTAACTCAGTTAGATCCTGTGGATATGGAATTATGTTCCCAAGAAGAAGGTGATGGAGAAATAACTATAGCTAGTAAACCAACGGAAATGGAAATAGATGCTGCTGAAAACCTTGAGCAGAACAAACAGTTGAGTATTGTGACTTGTAAGTACAAAGACTGTACGGAAAAAGTGGAAAGAGTAGGGGAGTATTGCAGTAAGCATTCAACTGCCAGCTCAGAAAAAGACAATTTGTTTGTCAAGCCTTTGTTGCCACCTTCTAAGACAAGAAAACCTTCCACTACCAAAATTTTTAGCTCAGTAAGTTCTTCCCGGAATGCAGCCTTCACCAAAGATCTTGAAGATGTTAAAAAACCCCTGCCAGCTTCAAAGAGCAAAGTGAATGCAGAGAGACCTGTGGCATTCAGACCACCACCTGCAAAGGCTCTACCATCAGCAAATCAAGTATGCAAAACCCCAAGATTCAGTAATGCTCCTCAGCCCTATGTTTCCAGTAATGTTCTCCAGCCACAAAATATACAGAATGCTTCAAACATTCCCAGACGACCTGTCAGAGAAGAATATTCCTCCTTCCTTGGAGCTCAGCAGCATGATAATAGTATTTTTGTTAAGGAAGTCCTCAAGTGGACTTATGAAATGTTTGCAAACTTCAGGAAGTTTGGACCTCCGGATAGTCTCCTGCAATCTGTAGTGGTCTCTGTTCCCGTCAGCTTCCAGGGATACAATGACTATTTTCATACGTTTTTCCCCTTGATGATGCTAAATGCCTTTGAAACAGTAAGTCCCTACCTGCCATTTGGTTTGCTTTTCCTTCAACACTAGCTAATTTTAGAAAAAGTTTAAAAATGGCTTTATGTTTAGCTGTTTAACTTCTGAAAATGATAGAAGATGTGTTGTTTCAAGCTATTTTGATAGATTTTTCTCTGGGAGAGGACTCAGTATTCCCTCAGTTAAAGGCTGTATGCTTTTAAGTTCTGTCATTGCCTCTCTTTTTCCAGTAGAAATAAGATAAAAAGACTATTGTTGGTATTTTTAAAGCAAAATGGAAGAGTTGGGGGAAAATGCATTTGTTTTGAAGAACTTTTTGTGAAAGTTGCATTCAAAATCAAACAACACTTGTCCTCTGTGTGTGCTTGTATACATATATATATATATATATATACACACACATACATAAAAAGTGGGCAAGACTTTCTGTGTCTTGTCCATTAGCTTTCATTTATTGCTGCCTAGTCACTTCTGCTGTTTGTGAGTTTTGATAAGCTTTTTTCTGAAAAAAATAACCCTTCAGAGTGCTCTATTTAGCTTCTGCTTTCCAACTTGTAGCTGGTCCAAGACTGGTTAGAAAGCCAGAGAATGAAAGAGAGGAGTTACTACTTCCAGCTGCAAAACTTCAGTGCTGACTTGAATCGAGCCGATTTTACAGGTAAGTGATGTTATTTATATATTTAAATAACCTTATGAAGATAATGGCACAGCCTGCTTTTCCTCTACTGTTTGTTTCTGCTTTCAAAATACAGTTAGAGAGTTGCTGGGTGACTCTCTTTTACACAGATCTACTCTGCTTCTACACAGATCTGTGTTCAGACTTAAAAAAAACAGTTAAAACTGTTCATTTTCTTTTGCTGTAGCTTCATATCGCTTTAAAACTTGGCATATAGGTATTTCTCAAGTGTATGTGCTATGCGAATCATTCCTCCATGCAAAAAGTAATTGTGCCCAAATTTCTTTTATCATTCTAATTCTTAAACCTTTTTTTTTTTTTTTTTTTGGGTAGCTCATATTCGAGAAAGTGATTTGGCACGACAGCTTCACCCAAAAGAGGATGATTTAATCTTTTTGGAAATCCAAGAGAGAAAGAACACCTTTGGGGAAGAGAGCGAGGTGGTGAACCACCTAGAGCAGCCTGTGGGGCTTGTGACACGGTTTTCTCGTGCAGCTGGCAGCTCAGCTAGTAAGTAAATGGTGTTGAGATAAAGATGCAACTCGTTTTGCTACCATCAAATACTTCTTTGTATTGACTGATAGGATTTATATCACTAACCTAAGAGGAAATAGATTTTTTTTTTTAATTTTTTCCTCCTTCCATTCCATGCTAGAAGATATTGTATAAAGCTAGGAACTGAAGCTATAGTTTTATTTTCATGAGTTTTTCTAGAGATGTCCTATAACAAGAGATGTTAATGCTTTGTATAAAGGTAGAATTCAGAGATGAGTAAGTGCTGTGTATATGCACTTAGGAGAGCACTGCTGAAAGACAAGGAGTGCCATCAGCTTCCATGACTTCACTGGGCAAAATGTATCTTGTAGAACTGGGGTGGTGAAGTACCAGGGTTGACAAGTACCAAGGTTACAGAATCCCAGAATCACAGGTTGGAAGGGACCTCTACAGATCATCTAGTCCAACCTTCCTGCTCAAGCAGGCACACCTAGAGCATGTGGCACAGGGTGGCATCCAGGCGGGTTTTGAAGACCTCCAGAGTAGGAGACTCCACAACCTCCCTGGGCAGCCTGTTCCACTGCTCTGTCACCCTAACAGTAAAGAAGTTCCTCCTCACCTGGAGACGGAACTTCTTGTGCTCCAGCTTATGGCCATTACCCCTCGTCCTATCGCTGACCACCAGTGAAAACAGCCTGTCCCCTTCCTCCCTGCATTCTCCCTTCCTGAACTTATACATATTAATCATATCCCCTCTGAGCCTTCTCTTCTCCAGAGAAAACAGGCCCAGCTCACTCAGCCTCTCTTCATACGAGAGATGTTCCATTCCCTTAATCATCCTGGTTGCCCTTCTCTGGACCCTCTCGAGAAGCTCCACGTCCCTCCTATACTGGGGAGCCCAGAACTGCCCCCAGTACTCCAGGTGCGGCCTCACCAGAGCTGAGTAGAGGGGCAGAATCACCTCCCTTGACCTGCTGGCAACACTCCTCCTGATGCAGGCCAGGATCCCATTGGCCTTCTTGGCCACGAGGGCACACTGCTGCCTCATGGTTAACTTAGTGTCAACCAGGACATTAATATTGTTCCATTAAAAAATGATGATAGTATGGCTTTATTACATGACCAGAGTAATCATGAACAGTATTTGATTTTCTTTGCAAGAATTGATTTTGATCTTCATGCAAATTCTTGCAAAGAATTTGATTTTCTTTGCAAGAATTAGTTCCTGGCTTTCCAGATGATATGCAGATCAGATAAGGCAGCATCTGATTCTGATAGGTTCTCTGATGGAGCTGTTTGACAATTTTGTAATTGGTGATTTGAATGTTCTTTGAATTAAGTATTTCAATGTTGTAATTTTCTCTTTTAAAGGACAAAACGAGCAGCATCTTGTCTGTCATCTCTCTGTGCAAACTCGAAGCAATTTGTCATTATTCATTAACAAGAAAGTGAAATGCGTGGTGGTCGGCTCCCTAGTAACCACGCAGCGAATGTTCAAAGGTCTCCTGCTACTGAGCAGGAGTCCCCTGGCTAGAGCCATCATCAACCCAAATTACAATGACTTCTATCCCAGAGATATGCCGTTATCTGCAGAAAGTGATGTAAGTCCTGTGGTGAGGGATGGCAAGTGGGTGTTTTTATCTTACCACTTTGCAAATCCGATGGTCGTGTTGGTTTTTGAGAGATGCCTAAGTGCAAATACACAAATTATGAAGGCACCGAGTCACTCTGCTTTTCCAGAGTGAGTGAATTGGGTGGGTGGACAAGAAGCTGATTTTGCCTTTCCATGAGCATTGGGTGTTCCTAGAGCAAACCTGAAGTCAGAAGCTTCCATGACCACTGTAATGTATGAGGCTTTATTTAGTCTTGGAGAAAGAGTGGGGGATTCTGAAAATACATAAACATGGAAGCTTTAATCATTCCTTCAGGTTCATATGAAAGACTACAATAAAGATCAGAAGAGAGCCATCAGCACTGCTTATGCCATTGTAAAACAGCATCCAACAGTTCCCAAGATCTGCCTCATACACGGACCGCCTGGAACAGGGAAATCAAAAACCATTGTTGGGCTTCTGTCTCGTGTTTTGAGAGAGGTAGGTGAATGTGATGCGTTCATCCTGTACTGCTATTTGCTTTCTCAAAAGAATCACCGCAATGGAATTGATAATATCTTGAAATAAAATCAGAGTGGTACTAGGGGTAATATTCATTAAGTTGAATTTCTTTAAACTTGCATCAAATAGCCTGTAATCATAGGAATAATACATTGTGTACATTTTGGAAAAGATTTATTTTACAGAGCTTAGAGAGTAAAATCAAGAAAGCTTCCTGCTGAACATGCAGTTAGGTAGTGTAAACACTTGTCTCATGAAAACACCCTCATATTTTGATGTAAAGAACATTACTTGACTGATCCCATCTGATTTTTCCCCGTTAGCATCTCAGGGATCCATCAGGTACATCATTGTTGAAGGGAATGCGTGCAAGTAGTGGTCACACATTTGGCTTGCCAGTTCCTCAGTAGAAGGTGTAGTCCACCTCAAGGGATGTGCAAATACCAGGGTCTTCATACACTGCATGCCAGTTGGGAGGAGAGTACAGTCTGGATTTTAAAATAGAAATTATCTAAAGAGCCCGGTTTGATTTATTGTTAATTAATCTACAGAACGCTAGGAATGAGAAAACAACTCAAAAACCAAATTCCAAGATCAAGCCGAACCGCTTTTTAGTTTGTGCACCATCCAATGCTGCTGTTGATGAACTCATGAAAAAGATCATCATTGAATTTAAGGAAAAGTGCCAAAACAGACAGGAACCCTTGGGTATGGTTTATTTGATTTATTTATTTAATTTTTTTATTTCCTTCTCTGGAACCAAAAGAAAGAGCAGATTGGAGCAAAATGAAAGGATTTTTACAATGTTATTTTTCACAAACAGGAAACTGTGGTGACATCCAGTTAGTGCGACTGGGTGCAGAAAAATCCATCAGCAGTGAAGTACGTGGATTTAGCCTGGATAAGCAAGTTGAACACAGAATGAGTAAGTAACCTGGAAATTAGACTTGGGGCTACTGTGTGCTCAAATGCTTCAAAAAGAAGGAAGATCCTTGACTCATAAGTATGCTGCTGGTTCCTAGCCTCCCACTTGAGTTTGTGCCACAACCCTCTGACCTTGCTTGTTCTCAAGCTGGTTTTCAGTCCACCTCACTCTTCATCTAGCCTGTTCTTCATCAGCTTGTCTGCTGGTGTGCAGCATTTGAGAGTTGGACTTGGAAACAAAGGTTTCTTGCCTTCATTTTTACTGTCCAAGATGAAAGACCTCAGAGGCCAGGGGAAAAAAAAAAAAAAAAAAAAGGAAAACGCACAAAATAATTTTTTTTATTTTTGTTGTTTTGATAAGTTTGATGGAAAAGAGATACTGTAATCTATATAATTTTTATTTCTCCTGCATGTTTTCCTTTATTATAGAGCGAAAACTACCTAACCGTGACCAGGATATTCAGAAGAGGAAAGAAGCTCTAGATCAAAAGCTGGACATGCTGTCCCGTCAACGTGCCAGGCATAGATGTGAGAAGAGGGAGGTAGTAAGAAGACAGTATTTCTAATCTGTTTATGGTTTTGTATTTGTGGTTGAATCCAAGGAGGAAAGAGCTCCTTATAAAGCTGTGTTTGAGCAGAAACAGTGTCTTTTCACCTGCTTTTCCAACTGATAGAAATACTGGTTAGCAACATGAAAAGGAATGAAGTACTTTTTGTCTGGAATTTTCTAGTCCATTTATGTTTGTGTGTTCAGCTGCTCAACCACAGCACGTTTTGCTCCAGTATTCAGTGGCCTTCATTTAGTGCTGTCATCAAGTAGAATTGTATGTGACCATACTTTAAAATTTCATTATTTCATTTTGTTGTATGCTTCAAAGCTCTGATTTTACTTGGCTGAAATAAGGAGATACTTTGCAGTCTAAGATTTTTGGATCCATTTGTTGTGTTTTCCAGGTGCATAAAAATTTGGCACTTGTGTTCAAATTATAGATTGTTGATAGTAAATAATGTATCCAGTTGCATAGAAATGTACGGGTGTAGACTGACGTGCAGTGCTGGATATGTTGACAACTTTTGAAAGAAATGGTTATCAATGTATTTTTTTGACACATTTCATATTATTGCACAAGTTGATATTTTTAATAAACATCTGGGGGGTATGGGAGAAAAAGCTCTCGAGGAAACACGTGTTGTAAATTGTTCTTGATATAAATATGCAATTTCCTGTTATTTCCCCCCGTCCAGAATCAACTGTTAGATGATGAAATTGGCAGACTTTCGAAGGAGAGACAGCAACTTGCTTCTCAACTGAAGGAGGTAGGACCTTATCCTCGGGTTAGTTCTCTAATAAACCTTACCTCTTGTATTTATGTACTTGGTATGCTTTGAATTTCCAGTACTCTGTGCTAAAAGTACTGGAAATTTGGGGTTGATGTGCCTGGGAGTATTTATAAATAGAATAGTAACTAAATAGGTAGAGGACATAAGCTGAGTTAATAATAAACAACAGTGTGGTGGGAAGCAGAGGTATAGTCTTCTGGCTGCATATAGCAAAAAAAAAAAAAAAAAAAAAAAAAAAAAAAAAAAAAAAAGTGGATGAGGAAATTACCTTTGCTAGATGAAGGTGAGTATGAAACAAAATGGCATATTTGACAAAAGTTAATAGAAGCATGCACAGTGTTCTCATGTTCTGTTAGACACTTTTATGCCCTGTGCTGTCCTACTGGAGGCAAGACATGCTTAGATGATTTTGAGTAAAGCAGTAGCTGCAGGGTTTTTTTGTGTGTGGAAAGAGATAGGTTTGAGATTAGAAATAAGAACTGATAGGAAAAAAAATGAGGTGAAGTTGCACAAATCATACAAAAGATAATTGAAAGGTTAATATTCAACAATTACAGGCTGACTGTCGTGGTCACGGAGGCTTGGAGTTAATTGTGTCATGGCAAACTGCATTTTGCTCACACTTACTATGTTTAGATTGCGTAACTGTAGAGATGAAAGAATACTTACTAGCTTGCTACCTAGGAAGTAGTTTCGATCTGTGAATTCAGGTGAGAGGAACATCAGTTCCAAACTTCAGTTGAGCAAATTTGTAACCTGCATTTGTAAGAGCAGAGGTAGTTTCATTGGGATGGCCTATTGTGTGTCATCTGTTTGACAGCTGGAATTGTTCAGGCAGTTAGAAATGGCTATAAGAACAAAGCAGGTGGTTCAGGAAAGCAAACAGAGAAGAGACACGGTGTCCTTTTGTACTTGAAGGTTCGAGGGTGCTCCCAGAAGATACAGGCAGATATTCTCTTGGAGTCCGACATCATCTGCTGCACCCTGAGCACGAGCGGAGGGATCCTGCTGAAATCTGCTTTTAGTCGGCAAGGACTCGATCCCTTCAGCTGTGTCATTGTGGATGAGGTGAGTGAAGCTGTGGAGAACTAAAGCAGTTTCCCCACCTGATGTCTGCCTTGTTCTTTGCTTAGGCTGCTTGGGACTGTTCAGCTGCTGGTATAATAATATTGTGGGTTGACTCACCTGTACCTGTGTTTTAACTGATAACTGGCCTGTCTTATCATGCAGATCCCTGCACAACATGAATAACTTATTACAATGTGGGTGTTTTCTTTTTCTTTATTTGCCTGCATCTTGCTTTAAAGGGAAATATCTTTACTAGGCAATGACTAAGATGTGACTATATAATAACAGCGATTTCTAAATGTTTGGGTTGCTTTTGTATTTATTTGGAGAGCTCTACCTATTACTTAACTGAAAAATCTATTGGGAGATTTTGTTAGGAAGAGATCCTTGGAAAAGATATCAGAGTTATACTCTCTATATGGCAGAAAATGAATATTTTTCTCCATCCTTTGCTTACAACTTCTACTTTTTGTCCTGTTTGCATATTCAAAAGGCAGGACAGTCCTGTGAGGTTGAAACACTCATTCCACTGATTCATCGCTGTAATAAACTTGTTCTTGTTGGAGATCCTAAACAACTCCCTCCTACTGTAAAATCACAGGTAGGTGTTCAAATTACTTTGTTGCTGTGGTGCTGAGACCATGTCAGTGTTGCCTTTATGTGTGAACTTCAGTAGATATATCTGATGTAGCTTAAAGTGCATTTCATGCACTAGTAAGGAAAGCTGTGGCACCAAAGTGAGCACCTTCAGTGCTGCTCTGTTGGACTGTAACATGAGCTTCGGTCAGTGTCCCATCCTTTGAGGAATGGGGATGGAGAACTACCTGTTAGTGGGAGGATTCCTCACCTACAAAGGTGTTGTAAGGATGAACATATTAGGAGTGTTTTCTTGTATCCATCAGCTGGGAGGACTGTTGTGAACATCTGATAGAAGGCAGACTTTTTTTCTCCTTTCTGGTAGCAGAAATTGTGGGGAGATTTCAGAATTAATTTAGGGAGATGGTTTCTGCAAAATCTTGCTTTCCATTATTATTAATGTGTTTAAAACTTCAGTGTGTTGCAACTCGGAGAAGGGAAATGAGCATTGCTGAAGACTGCACTGTCAAAATTCAGACGTAGGCAGGTGACCTTTACTGAACTAATAAGACAAGCATAGATAGAAAACTGAATCAAGTCTTTAGGTTGTTATACTTCATCAGCAATTTAGAATTTTCCTTAAAAAAATAGCAAGCAGTCCCCAAAGTGAGTTCCTATCATTAATTCTGGACCCAATTCCCCAAAAGTCAATGACGTGTCTTCCTTCTGGCAGAAAGCTCAGGACTATGGCTATGATCAGTCCTTGATGGCACGTCTGCACAGGCACCTGGAGAGACAAGTGCAGCAGAATATTTGCAGCAGCCTGCCTGTTGTGCAGCTGACTGTGCAGTACAGGATGCACCCTGATATCTGCCTCTTCCCATCCAGTTACATTTATGGCAGGACCCTGAAGACTGACAAGTAAGTAACAAAATTCTGCCTTCTGAGCTGGGACTATTTCAAAGAAAGCTTCTTCACAGCAGCATGTTGTTTGCATCCAAAGGTTCTTGTGGTTGTGAAGGAGGATGCTTAATGGGGGAAGACTTACATGCCTTCTGCTGGTGATGCTGGCCATGAGGCATGAAATAACTAGATCACTGAAGATGGAACAGATTTGTTACAGCACAGAGTTCCATCTTAGTCCTCAGTATACCCAGATAACAGTAAGAAGTAGGGACTCCAGTGGGGAAATATAAAAACTGAAAGCTGATTGTGTTTAATAACCATGTGTCAATTCTTGGGATTTCTTTTTTATGCTTAACTAGTGATGTGAATGTTATTCACAGAGCAACAGAAGAGAACAGATGTTCCTCAGAATGGCCTTTCCAGCCTTACCTGATTTTTGATGTAAGAGATGGTCGTGAGGAGAGAGACAACGAGTAAGTCCTGCGTTCTGCTCTGCCATGTCTTACCCATGGTAATAACTATTTGCCTGTAGAGGTATCTGCCTTTTTCCTTTGTTCTTCTCTGCATGCAGCAAATAGCCAGAACTTCATTCTCAGCTAGATGTGATTTAATTTTCTAGAAGGCTGCTTTACTGAAACCAAGTGTTAAGTGTTTTTCTTGGTGTGTAACTGTTTTTCGTCCTGGTTTGAATATCTTTTGGGCCCAGTGTATGCCTTCAGTCTGTGCTGTGATACCATCTCAATCCTACAGATTCTTTTTTTATCTCCCCTTTCTTGAAGACTTGCTTTTCACATCTGCATACTGATAGGATGCCAGAAGAGGGCAGGCTCAGTCTTCCCCTTCATAGTTTTTTTTTAAGAGAAAGCGAAGCTGTGGAGCTCTCAGGGAACTTGTAGTACAACAATTTTTCCTTATTGAAAAGGAGAAATAAAAATCCTTACTGCTTATCTCCTGTCAAGGCCAATTTGAGTGTTATTTTGCGCGTCTATAAAAGAGGATGCAAGAGCTTAAAACATGAGGTTTGACTCAGTCCTCCTGCAACTTGGGCTGAAGTGCTGAGTTGGAAAGAGCTATTAAATTTGTTTCTTTAATGTTTTTCTTCCTTTCTGTCTTGTTCAGCTCTTTTAGTAATCCCCAAGAAGTTAAACTGGTGATAGAATTAATTAAAGCAATTAAAGAAAAAAAGAAGGATTTTGGTCTTCGTCAGATTGGAATAATTACCCCTTACAGCGCACAGAAAAAGAAAATTCAAGAAGAACTAGAGAGAGTGTTTAAGAACAACAGGTAAAGAAGCCCCTGAGCTTTCAAATAGTTTTTTTTTTTTCCCTGCATATTAGTCCTTTTTTATCCTCTTAAAACTGGAGCAAAATGTCTCAAACTTTTTTGTACTGCCAAAATCTCTATTTAGGTTTTTTTTATCAGGAGGCATCCAAATCTTTTCTCTTAAAACAAGCATGACGTTTGGGTTCTTAGCGCTTACTCTTGTACAAGCTCTGACAAGATTACTGTTCTGGAGGAAAAAAAAAAAAAGAAAAAGACAAGATTTGCAGATAAACTTAAAAGTGATTCCCAGGCTCCATGGAACTGAACAGATTTTCAACAGCAAAAAAAGCAAAAACTGCTTAACATTCATATATTGAATCTTTCCATGTTCTGAAGCAGAAGTTTATCCCTGGACTATGTTGATCAAACAGCACAGTTTTTATACCATTTATGTTAGTGTATTGCTAAGAAAGCTCAACTAAGGCAGTTCAGTGCCTACTAATTCCTTCTTTTGACAGCTCGGGGGAAGTGGACACCGTGGATGCCTTCCAGGGCCGGGAGAAGGACTGCATCATCGTGACGTGTGTCCGGGCCAACAGCAGTAAAGGCTCCATTGGGTACGTTTGTCTCAGTGACCTGCAAATCCTTGTCACACCGACACATTGGATGTAGTTGTCAGGTTCTGAATATTAACATTAAAAATAAGAGAACAAGTTACTGCAGTGCAGTGCATTAATTGGCTAATTAAAAAGTAAACCACTGCATGAAATGCTACTGGTTTGAGATTTTTGGATCAAAAAGTACATGGAAATGCTAAGTATTGCAATGTTCTGCAGTGCATACTGATAAATTTGCATGATTGCTTTAGTCCATCAGTGTTCGGTTGGCAGCATTGGTCTGGGAACTTGGCTCTTCACGTTAGTGCTGCAGCAGTCCTTATAGCTTGTCACATTGCAGTTTTCTGAACGATGCTCTTTGAAAACAAAAGTCCTTTTTTTTTATGACTAATATCCTATTAATATAGCATTTACTCTGTAAAAAGAGTGCTGCTAAATGATTAATTACATTGTTAGGAATGTGGCTTAGACCAGCTAGATGGTTGTCTTTTGAAGAACAAGGAATTTCACAAACTCTTGACTCTAGATCACAGTTCTGATAATTGTATACAAGAATTTCCTTTTTGAAGCAGAGCAACTAGATATTGGAAACTACTGCAACAATTGGATCGATTTCCTTTATTACTAATATGTCCGAAAGGTGACTATTTTAATTAAAAATTACATTGGAAATGAGCCTTGTAGTTCGTGGTCTTTTCAGTGAGTCTGCGGAGGCTGTTCACAGGCAGAATTCTTTGTTACCACCCACGACATTTTGCAACTGATAGTTCTTTGATTAGTGATTTTTTTAATTGCTAGATAAAGGGCTATTAGTTGTATGGATCTGTGCTACTTTGGGAAGGGAAAGGACTGTTCTTTGCATTGAAATCCTGCAGTAAAAAACAAGGATGCTCTGGGGGAATTTTTAATCTGGCTGATTGTGTTTGGAAGCTGAAGGCAGCTATAACCTGCCTGACTTTTTGGCTGGCGTATGATTTAGCCTCTACTTGTTCTCTTGGAAGAAAATTTTACAACTTGCTGTGCTGAAACTTATACAATAAAGCTTTGGCAATGCGATACCTTTTAAGTTGCACATACTGATGACTTGGGTGTGTGTTTCAAGGTCAGGCTTCATTGGCAAGATGAGAAATTCTGCATCACCATTACCCCTGGTCTCAGAGCTGAGCAAAGTATTTCAGTCTCCAGGACTCCTAGTCCAGCATTAAGCTTGAAAAAGGAGAAGAAAAACTATCCAAGAAGTGATACTTGAAGGATTTTTTCACTTTCCTGAGAAAATACATCTTGTATTCCTTCAGTTTAGTTGTCTTTAGTCTTTTTCAGTAAAAATTGTAACTTCTGTTATAACTTCTTGTTTAAGTTTTAATACATTGTGTTTGGTTTTGGTTCTGCAGAAACAGTCTAGATGTCTGATACTTGTAATTGGAAACTTCCTTTTGCAAGGAGTATGCTTTTCAGAACTTGAAACATGACAAAGCAGAAATGCTGTGTTCTTCTAGTGCAGGTCACCTTTGGAATGAGTAAAATATTCAAGTCCAGCATTTAGCATCGCAGTAGGAAGTTTTCCCATTAATCATCTGAAATATTAATCTGTTTCAGTTCAAGCCAAAAAGAACTGTAAAGGCTTGATAGGAGCAAGGCTTTGAGGAACAGTGAGGGAAACAGGGATCATCGTTAAGAGAGGTTTTGCCACTGATATTTCCCCTCTTTGTGTGAGAGCTGTGGAGTTCTCTGCAAGGAATCAAAGTACTGAAAGGAAAACGCTTCACCCAAAGCCTTTTAGGAAAGGGAGGGCTGCTTTAGAGGGCTCTGGGAATGGATAATGAACTGCCTTCTTTTTAACTACTTGTGTTATCTTCATTTCATTAATAAACTGACTGTTATCTCCTTCTCTTACATGTTTAAGTTTGGAGGAACGAGTTTAGGAACTTGGTTTTGTCTTGTCATTTAGGTTTCTGGCAAGTCTTCAGCGCCTGAATGTTACAATTACCCGGGCCAGGTTCAGCCTCTTCATTCTTGGAAGACTAGAAACACTCATGGTAGGTGCAGTGTTACATCTGATGATCCTTGTGTGTCCACCTTTTTTAGGTTAAGCAAGTAAAAACCATCCTCAGACTGTTCTGGTACGTGAAAAAGGTGCTTTTTAAGTGTGTTACTCAGTTAGAACAAGGGCTTGGCTGTGATTCTTAGAGCTTAAAGGCTGTATTCCTTGCTTCCAAGAAGGAAAGGTTTTTAGCTATTCAGTTATATCACAGTACTTTTAAACCAGTGTGGGGAGTGCAAAAATTCTCTCTACAGGTAAGTTGAGATGATGACAAAGATGTTTTGCTGCTTGATCCTTCCTCTTTCTCCAGTTGTAATTACTGCAGTTGTTACAGGATACTTGTGCAAGTAAAATGATTGATTTAGAGGAGGGAGGGGGGAAAAAACCCCACTGTCTTCTGATTTTCAGATTGTGTCTGACACTACTCTGTGTAGTTAGTTACATGATTTCTCATGGTAGTTGTACTGTGAGGCAGGTGTTTCTGGGCAGAATTGCATGTTTGGGGGACTATAAAGAATCACCAGAAGGGTGGGTAGTGCTCTAGAGTAGACTTGGTGTCTAGGTGCCTGGTTGTACTTCATTTATTTTGTCAGTGAGTGGGGATTATTTGGTGGTTACACCACTAGAGGGCATGGAGACAATATTCCCGTAGCTCTTGTTCTCCGAATTCGGTTGCCTTCCAGCCTTCATAAATACAAAAGCAGACAAGAGTTACAATTTTAAGTAGTAAATTGCTGATGGCTGAGAAATGTAAAGCAGCCACATGCCCACTGCTCTTTTGCTTTCAGGTGAAACTTAGAATCTTTCATTCTAGAAGGATCATAACAGTGATTGCCATGACAGTTTGGTCGGGTACCTTCAGTGAAAGAGGATGTGCATCCTGCAGCCCCTCTGTTTGTATGTGTTGATTTCCTTCTGCTCGCTCTTTTCTTTTGCATGATTGGGGTTGTCTTTTTTTTTTTTCCCCTCCTCAAAGGAAAATGAAGACTGGAACAAGTTGATTCAGGATGCTGAGAAAAGAGGTGCCATTATCAAGACTTTGGAGAAGAGCTACAAGAAAGATGCTGCCAAGATTCTGAAGCTCAAGCCACCAGTCCCAAAACCCCCTGGGCGGCCTCCAACAAGAGCGGGGCCCGAGAAAGCTCCTCCAGTGCCAGCTCATCCTCCAGTGCCAGCCCATCCTCCTGGTGGCAGGAGGGACGAGCTCCCAAACCCCAAGGAGAGCAGCCACCCGTGGGCACTCTGTGCTGCTGCCAGCCCTGCAGCATCGCAGGGAGGCCGAGGGCCGCAGCAGCCCCAGGGGCCTCACGCTGTGGACTCCAGAAGGGCCTCGGTTTCCACCCCAGCAGAGGCTCCAGCACAGGCTGCTGATCGAGAGAGACCCCGGGACCCCAGACTGGCCAGCAGAGCAGAGACGAAAGGCAAGGAGCAGGTCTCAAAAGACAGCAAGCAGTCAGCTCAGGGCAATCTGGCAGCAACAGCAGCTCAACAACAACAGCAACAGAGCCCAGAAGCATCCGCCGCTGCCAGGGCTCAGCTTCCCAAGACAGAAACCTCCAAGAGGCCCCAACAAACAACAGGGAAATTCAGCCTCCCTTGCATGTCATCCTCTTTTGCAGCTCAGCAGGAGAACGACTGGAGAGCCGCTTCGTCCAAAAATGATTCCAAAGCCCACAGTGGAAGTCAAAGTAGTAGCAGTAAGTGCAGCAAAGATAAAGACTATAATTTTGCAACCAGGAAAGCATCAGAGGAATCACCAGATAGGAAAGACTTGATCAGTGCCAAGCGAAGAAAGACCTTTCACTGACTGGAATGTCTTTAGTATTGGCCCATTACTCAAAATCCATCCCCAGATTTCTGTCTAGCAAGGACTTCATTTTAAGATCATTCATACACCTGGAACTCCCTGATTTTGATACTTCTACAATCAGTAGATTGATCTTTTTCCCATCCTGTCACTAATGGCAAAGAGACTTTATAGATGAGAGTTGATAACTTTGAGCTTTTGAACAGAAAAGTTGAGTTAGCTGCATTGCTCGGAAGGGCAGTGAATTTTGTCACCTAGGAAGTTGAGATTGTAAATGTTTAATGATGTATATTTGTACAGTACAAAATTATTTTAAGACTTGATTTGGCAGGTCCGTAGCTGCTTGTTTCCTTGTGCAAATGCTAATTTCATAGTGATGTAATTTTTTTTATGAAGAACCTAAGAAAAAAAAAAAGAAAAAGAAAAAAAAAAAAAAAGAAACCAAATTCAGAGCCAGACTTTTTTCCCTTTGCCCTAGTAACTCTAATTTATTTGATAGCAAACAACAAATTTTGAAAAGATGGTGGAAGCGATTCTTCCTCATGTTCTACTTCCTCAGGGAAGACTGAGGGCAGAGGAACGTAGCTTGAACGGAGAAATTTCTACTTACTTTGTACATTTTATTGCCTGTTTTTATAGGAACAAAAGAGCTTATGTTTATACACACGTGCCTTGAGTTTTGTTCTTGCTGCTGCTTGGTTGCCTGGAGCCCTTTGGCCGCAGTGGTGGCGCGAGCTGCGGGTTAAAGCCTGTGAGATCTGTTTGGGCCCACAGAGTCCGTGTGATGAGTGGGATCTCAGTCAAAAGACCTAGTTAATGATAATGACACTTGAACTTCTTTGTATAGAGCTCTTGGAGATCTATGGAGTTGAAAAGGACCGAGCTGTTAGTTCTCTGTTATATAACCAGTAAAGGGGCAGGGAGAGCGTCTCTTGTGACTGTTCTTAAGCAAGCCATAATGCAGAAAGCCATAACATCTCACCGTAACGCTTCCACAATCAGAGTGGGATTATTTCTAGTGCAGAGCAAGTGCCTTTGGGTCACAGTGTAGCGCTGTTTTTACCTCCCGGAGTAGAGCCCATCCATCTCTAGCAAGCGACCAGCAGCGTTTCCCATGCACAGTGTTTCGTGTGGAGACAGTCTAGCAACCCCCTGCTTGAGAATTCAGCACCTCTCTGCATTAATGCAAGTTGGGGGTGTTGCCTGCAGGCCAGACTGCTGTTTCCCTGCATCTCTCTTAAAATACAACCTGTTACAACCCTGGCAGTATCTTGCCATCCCTTGTAACTGATGCGGGAAGGGATGGTCGTGGTGTTCTTAACCCTTTGTGCTGTGGCCAAATGCTTTAAGGAATAGAAAGAAGCCATCAATCTTGTGTGAATGGAGCCTGCAAAGTTTAAATTTAATTTTACACCTGCAAATCACATAACTAAGGAGCAGGTTCTGGCATGCTGACCTACTGAATGGCTTATGCTTAACCACTATATGAGGGTGTCTTGGTCGTGTAGCTGCAGAAAGAGCTGCCAGGCTCCTGGGCTGACTTTAACCACCGGCTTTAGCTGCATTCCAGGCCTGGCACGTTCAGTGTGATGGTTAGTGGTATTTTTGTTCTTTGCACCAGCTGACAAATCTGTGATGCACTTCAGGGAAATACGGATAGCTTGCCCCACAGAAAGTAACGTATTTGCCAGGATAACTTAGAAGTTTAAGGTATCCAAGCACTGGACAGATGTTTTTGTATTTAACAAGAACTGAGCAGTAGGTGTGTTGCAAGGCTCTTTAGTCCCTGTGTGTGCCTGTCCTGCTCACAGTGCGACGCCATGGAGACTTTAAGAGAATAAGGGAAAACTCTGACCTTCGAGATGCCCTTGAAATGAAATGGGGACGTGGCGCAGTGCTCAAGAATGACACCTTGGGCCCCAAACTGTAGTTTCTTCATTACGGTGCAATCTTAATTGCTTCCCTAACCCCTGACCCGCTCTAGTCAGCAGGATACGCACCTCTGAAACGGTTGTGACGGGTCCTTATGTTACGTACCTGGAGCGAGAAGGAAGGTGGTTGGAATTAATTTCATTGTCATGAATTGGACACTGCTGTCGCTCCCGGCTCACGGAATCCTTGCCCTCCGTGTTATCTGCCTTCCTGTTAGTAGGAATCCTTAAAAACCCTGTCTTCACGGAAACCTCTTGGCTCTCCTCATCACTGCCCTGTCAGCTTGCCTGCTGCTCCCGCTTAGCACGTTAAAAAGGCTGCTATTCTGCTAACTGCTGCAAGACCCTATAGCTATGGGAGCGGCCATGGAGTCTGTATTTATGGGAATAAAGTGAAGGCAGCAACACTAGGAATGAAGAAACGCGCTTTTCTGGCCATTAAATAGGACTTTGTCAGGGAAACATTTTTTCATAAACATCCCTTCTATTTTTTTTTTTTTTTCCTGCTTAATTTGTGTTTGAGAACATACATTTCCTGAGAACTCTGCTAACCACATGCTGGAAGGAATTTTGTTTTAACATCCATTTCGCTTGTATTATGTGCAGAAAACATAGCATATGTAATTTTATAATTGATGTACTTTTTCCATAAAACATCATTTATAAGGAATGGTCAAGTGGCTCGAGCTTTATTTATTTATTTTTATTTATCTTTTTCTTCCTCTCCCCTCTGGTTTAATACTAAATTTATTTTATCTGTCTTAAGTTGTCAGTCTTTCAGCAGTAGCTTATTCCTACCATATCAGTCTGTACTGTTAATGTTGTATTTTTGAATAAAAAAATCTTTGGGTTATTTGCGCTTGAAACACTTCTCTCTCTTCACATGCAAGTCAGAGTAGGTTTATAGGTTTAATTAACTTTTCTCCTCCTTATATTTTGATCAGCTCGACTCCAAAGCACATTTCTCATTGGTTGAAATGAAATCTCCAATACAAAGTACAGTTCTGATAGTTCCTTCTCAATTCCATTTTGTGGTTGTGCAATACCATCCTCAGGGTTGATGGACAGTCATGTTTGTAAGTTATGGGTGTAAATTTGCTATATGTATTCTTGTGTTTTCTTGTCTCAGAAGCAGTGCAGATTGTTCAATTATTCCTTTGTTATTAAATTGGGGAAGTCAGAAAAATTGATAAAGAACACAAAGCAATGTGAAACAGTTTAATTGGACTTTGTGCCCAAAAAACTTTGCAACAAGTCTTTTTGCTGACTCTTCTTTAAATGATTCTCCAAGCTTGGCAGCTTCATTCCTACTGCAAAACCAGTTCCCTGTGTGGTGCCATAGTCACTTGTTGGAAATTTCTTCTAGGAGCTGGAGTCTTTTTGGGTCAAGGTTTCCCCTACCTCCCTATTTAAGCCCTCTGCTTGTACAGAGAATAGAGGGTACTTTCTGGTGGAGGTGAAGCATCAGCCTGCTCATTCCTTTCTCCTTTAAGCTGCACCCCGATTGATTTCCATGTCATCACTCCAAACTGGACAGCTGAGAATAAAGCAGAACCATATGATGGTATCTGAACAGTGATGACATCTGATCAGTTATTTGCCTAGTAAGATCTTTTTAATCTGTGTTTTCCTGTGCGTTTTTCTAGAGCAAGAAAGATGACGTAGGGGCAGGACACATAATAATTAAGGATGACCAATGTTCTTGGGCCTTGGTGAAGTCTAAAAATTAACAATGATTTGCAAGTTGGGACTTTTTTGCAGTTATCCAAGTGTGCTGAGATGCTGCAGGTCCTTTTGGACGTGCAGGAGGAGAGATGAGAGCGACCGACACCCAAAGGAGCCTTGTTCATTCAGAGCCTATTGACAGTAGCAATACCAAGGGTAAGCAGAACCGTGCTCCTAAAAATGCAAGACATCCTCCCTTGTCTGCATGAATAAATGATGGATGAAATGACTGCTGTATTGTAAATGGAATTTATAATGTTAACAATATAATACAAGCTATTGCCACAATGGGTCTGTTCCCAACTCATATATAAGGTCTCCTTTCTTGTCTTTTTAAAATGCTTGGAAGGGAGCCCAATGCCTTATTCTTCAGCATAAATGTAAGCGAGCAGTCTCGTACACTGAATATTGCTGAGACCTCCCAGCCTTAGCTGTTTGCTAAGGTCTTGACTAATTTTCCACCAACACTCAGGCAAATAGTGAGGAAAATGAAGGTGGTTTGAGTTCAGGTTACATTTGGTACTGTGAAAATGTGGAAAAACCTTCTTTTATAGCCTGACAGGCTCCATTGCTGTGACTGTCTAATTTCTCAGATATCTATGTTGTAGCAAGCAAAACTCCTCCCTTCTCTGCTAAGAAATGACATCAATCTCCCTTCTTTTAACTCCTAAACTACCGTGGAAAGGGGTAGGGGTGGAGATGGTGTATTCCAGTCCTGCTGCTGCCCCGGAGAGAGCAGAGCTAGGGGCACCCAGGGGTGCTTAGGCTTTTGCTTCCCATATTCTGCCCTACAGTGAAACTTTTTGTGCTGCCCGGGCAGTCCCAATGACGATGGGACCTTTGGGGTGCTTTGAAACTCTCCTCAGCCCTCTGAGAGAGCTGCTCAGCTTCTCTTTTCTGGGTTCTTTTAGCTGGGGATGAATTCTCATAGGCACAAATTGGCAGGACAAGTTACTACAATACCCGTGATGTCGATTCTCTTGCCACTCCAGCCCATATGAGGCTCTTTAAGAAGCATCCTGTGCATGAGCTTGAAGACCAAAGGAGGAACCTGGTAAGTGCTGATGCACCAGGGGGGTTTTCTTGGAAAGAGAAGTACCTTCCAGTTAACAAGGACGAACATTGCTGGAGTAAGGCATGGTCGGAGGAATGTTGAAGGCAGGTCTATTTCTTTAAAAATAAAATAATAAAACCCAAACATAACCCAGCCAATGACCAAAACAAGCAAAAGGGGAAGAAAAAAAATCCCACAAAAGGTCTAGTTTCAGTGAAAGATCCCTGGCAGTGCAATGAAGACACATGCTTGCAGGGAAGCTGCTGGCCAGGGCACTTGGCTGAGATGCAGCTTTATGAAGTAGTAAATTTTCTGTTGCTTAATCTAATTTTCTAGAGAAAAACACCAGTGCTGGGAAAGGGGAACGTGTGGTTCACCTTCCAGAAGTGCCATTAAGAGATCTTGATCTTGTTACAGACTCCTCTCTGCTATTACTTAAACGAATATTAACCTATGAGGGTTTTAGGTAGATCTAGCTAAGAAAGTACGAAGAAAAAGTGTCAGTAATAACAGCCTGCACTAAAGAAAGGGAGGTAAGCGCCAGCCACTGCCTCGCTGCTCAGATCTCAGCAGGGTCACCTCAATCCTCCTTTCGTTCCTGGGGAAGCCCTGTGCCCTTCCTCCCTAAGGTTAAACGTAGCAGTCCTGCTTGTTCCACGCAGAAATGTACCCAATTTCTTAGTGACAGTTTGACATGTCTGCCCCATGTTTTTTATTCCATTTTTCTTCCCTTTTCACAAAGTGCTGGTTCATTGCATGTGTTGATCTGGAGGGCGGTGGGGTTGTCTCGTCTCCTCTTACCCTGTCCCCACCTCAGCTCCTGCCTGAAGCCACCATCAAAGCTCTCGAGGGGATGGAAGAGTCGCATTCTCCCGGTTTTTGAGTTATAGGACTTGTGTCTGGCTTCTTGTGCCTTCTTTGCCCTGCTTGTAGCAGGTTTATGAGCTTTAGGTGAGTTGATCTGGTCCCTACACATTCTCCACTGCAGTCCCAGGCTCTAGCTAACTAAAAATACTCAAAATCAGCAACTTTTGCAGGACACTCATGGGTGCCATGAGTCTGGACAGCTGAATTCCCTCTAGAGAAGCAGTCCTGGACTCTCCATCCTTCTCCTGCTGCCGACTCCTTTGGAAATGGCTTTTGGAGATGAGATCAATGCTTAATATCTAATCCTGGCTTTGTTAATTGTCTACATTTAGCGGCCTAACCTAGGTTCAGCAAAGTAATTAGGAGAAATAATTAACGCTTCTCAGTGATGAAACAAGCTCTCTCCCTCCTCCCGTCTCCCTCCCCATGCAGTGCACCTTGGCAGTGACTCAGAAAACACAGGAGGACGTTATGAATCAAAAAATAAGTCTTTACCTGTAATTAACTGTGCACACAAAAAGGAAAACATGGTGATCAAGCAGCAATTAATAGTTGCTTTACTGGAGGAGGATACACCATCATCAAACGCCCATGGCAAAATGTCCCTTTTAAGTGGTGGCTCTTCTATAACATTTAGTCCAAATAAAAATAAGTCTCTACCCAAAAGAAGTATCCGAACCGTACGCTAGCAGGAGACGTGTGGATAAGACACTGCGCTCCTCGCGTACCGTGTGCCCAACGCGCCCCGTGCTCTCCGTAAGTGCAGGAAAAAAGAAAAACTCAGCGATGAAAACACAAGAGAACCAAGGCAGCAACTAGAGCCATAGGCAACGGCTGGCGCGGGGCCGGCGGTGCGACGGGGGACAAGGAGGGACCAGCGGGTCCTCTCTCCTCTTCCTCCCCTTCCCCTGCCTGCGCCGGGACGCTGGAGCTTGGAGAGGCTCTTACAAAACAGGACGCTAAGAAAGGAGAGGTGGAAAAATAAAAGAAGGGCCTATATCAAAATAAATAAATAAAAAACCCATCCCTTGGCTGGCGGCGCTGTTTCACCAGGGTCCCTGTGTGGAGCAGGGAGGGTGGCGGCGGCGCCGGCCCCGCAGGCCTCGCGCGAGTCCCAGCGGGAAGGAAGGACGCGGAGGCGGCGGGAGAGCGCCCGGCTGAGCTGGGATCCCTCAAGGTCCTCCCTGGACGTGGCTGCCTCAGGCGGAGGCCTCAGGGACGCAGCCAGGCGGGCAGCTGCAGCGCCAGGGCGGCCAGCGGGAGGGAGGCGAGGGCGGCATGGGCGCCGGGCGCGGCGTCGCACGCGCCGCGCTCCGCCTCGCAGCGCGCCTGCTGGCACAGGACGCCCTTGAAGCCCGCGGCGCAGAGGCACCGCTGGTTCTGGTAGCAGGTGCCGCCGTTCTGGCAGAGCAGGAGCTCGTCGTCGCACACGTTGGCTGTGGGCGGGAGGGAAGGACGCCGCGTTAGGCCCCGGCACTGTGTGACGCGGCCGCTGAGGCTGAAGGAGGAGACAGGGGAAACTGCGACGCTTGGGGATCTGTCAAGTGCTGGAGACTTGGGGGTCTGTCAAGTGCTGGAGGGTCTGTGAGGACTTTGTGAGGAGGCTTAGGGTTGTTCTCGTGATGGACCCTGAAGGACATGGGGCAGCTGAGCTGGAGGCGGTGAAGATCCCCCTCATAGTTGGACCCATCTCACCCCTTGTTTTCTCTCCCTGACAAAGCAGGACCCAAGGTCGGTCCATCCCTGAGGTAGGACCCAAGGATCCCTGAGGTAGGATCGTCCCCAAGGTGGCTCCGTCCCCCAGGGAGGATTCCCCCCAGCCCGGGGTACTCACGGAAGCAGCCTTGTCTCCAGTAGTAGTTGGGCAGACAGTCGTCGCACTTGGGCCCCGTGGCGCCTTCCCTGCATTCACAGTAGCCGGTCTCGTTGCAGCGGTCGTGCACGGAGCCGATCTGGTTGCAGTTACACTCTGCCCAGAGACCAGGCCCTTAGTCCCCTCTGACGAGCCCTGGCCGGGAGACCCGCCACCGACTAGATGTTGCCCCAAGGACACCAGAGACACCCCCGGCATTGCCCAGGCTGCAGGAGAGCCCTGGAGGGCTCTACGCTGCTCCCAGCAGAGTGGTATCTTCTTGCTTCACATTGAAAGGGGCTATTTGGACGCATGGCCGCGCGTCCCTCAAGGGAGGACCTGCACGAGCACCCTCACCTATGCAGACGTTCTCGTCGTCCAGCTCGGCCGAGCTGTTGCGGTAGAAGCCCAGGCGGCAGTGCTGGCAGTGCTGGCCCCGCGTGTTGTGCTTGCAGCTCACGCACGTCACCACGTTCAGGAAGTCGATGTAGCTGCAGCGGTTGGAGTGGCCGTAGCACTCGCAGTCTGCGGGGACGAGGAAGAGGAGGGAGCTGGGGGGGCTGCACTGGGGCAGGGGCCTGGGGTCCCTTGGGTGGTGGGTCCCTTGGGGGGTGAGGGCAGGGTTGCTTTAAGGAGAGCCCAGCTGAGGGCAGCAACCAGCAGAGTGGAGTTAAGTGCTGATGAAAGAGCCCAAGAGGTGATGAGAAGCCAACCCAGGGTCAGGAGGTAGGGTGGACATGATGTTCCCATGGTGCTCCCAGGGCTCAGGCTCTGGAGCTGGGGCCATTGGGGGCCACAGCAGCGCTTGCTGGCAACTGGAAGGACCTCAGGAAGGATGAGCAGGAGCTGAAGCTGCCGCACACCCAGGTAGGTCCCCGCTGACCTGTCCCACCTGTGTCCCTTCTCACATCCCAACACAGATGGGAGCCCAGCCATCTCTGAGCCTCCTCGTGCTTGAGGAGGGAGGCTCTGAACAGGGGCTGTGCTGTGAAACACGAAGCGATGGCAGGGGGATGGCAGGCAGCAGTGCGGGTGCTCGTGCACGGAGGTTTGGAGCAGGAGGTTTGTGACAATGAAATGAAGAGCAGGGACGGTGGAGCAGGGCAGAGGTTTCCCCACGGTTCGTTGCTGCCTGAGGAGGGACCGGGGGTCGATGGTAACCCTGACCCTCCGTGAAATATTTGCTCCTGGCCTGACCCCAACTGAAGGACATGGGCCCAATGCCCTGGCCAGTGCAGGTCACCACACAAGGCGCTGCCTCCTGCCCGCAGCTCAACAACCCTCCACCTCGTCTTCCAGCTGCACCAGCAGGATCACGTCACACCAGTGAGGACCAGGGGCCCTGGAGCCGCCGAGCGCCTCCTCTTACCTTCGTACGTCTCAACGGGTGCCACACGGCCAGAGTCAGCTTTGAGCCGGACGAGTTTTGAGATCTTGGAGGATGCTTAAGAGAAACCAGAGAGGGGCTGGTCCTCCACGCATGCTCTGTGCTGCGGCAGCACCTGGAGCCCGAGGGGCTCCTGCACCTCGGCCTCCTCTTCCTCACCCGTCCTCGACGCCCGCGCAGCCGCACAATGGGGCCGAGCAGCTACTCGCACGCCTACCTCTACACACAACAAACCAGCTTGGTCAAAGGGAGTGTCTACACGTCTAACAAGCTTAGAGAAGCATCTACCCGCTGTGGTGTCTGCTCGAGGCGGTCACAGCTAGCACAGAAGAAGCCGCAGGGCGCGCGGGCCGGCTGGCGCGGCGGCGCGGGCACCTACCTGCCTTCCTGCCGGGCCTCCTGCCTGCAGAGTGTGCTGTGCGCCCGGCTTTGCTCCGCGGTGCCGCTGCGCGAGACACGGAACGCCGCTGAGCGCCGGGATGAGCCGGCGGCCGGGACAGGTGCCCCGGAGAGCAGCAGCACCCAAGGGACGCGGCGGGCGCCTACATTGCAGGCCATGGATGCCAGCGAGCGCTGGCAAATTGCAGCACCGGGTGGGTTTTGCACGCCCCAAACCCCAGGGCAGGCGGTCTGGGTGTCAAACCACGTTGGGCAGCAACACCCATTGGCGCTTCTGGCTACAAGCAGCCTGTGCTTGTCTCTCCGTCCCACTGGCTCACAGCAGAGCCTGGGGTTGCAGCACGGACACCCTGGGCTGTGTTAGGAACCGGGCATTAGCACCGTTAATCCTGCACTTCAAGCAGGCACGGTGCAGTGCTCCTTGCTCGTCCTGACAGGGCTTCCCTGGGGGCATCATGTTCCGGCCCTCCCCTTGGAAAGCAAAGGGCACCAGCATCACTTTTCAGCTCTCCCCTTGGAAAGCTCAAGGTGTCCCCTTGAACATCCTTGGAAAGCTCAGGGTGTCATGGGCAGGACAGGGCGGAAACTTTCCTGTGCATCCTTGGCAAGAGCTGGAGGGGACTGGGGCGGGTGCTCTCTGTCTCAGAGCAATTCAAGAAGGTCAAGGCTTGTTGGGGGACACCAGCCCGTCCCGCTCCGTCCCCGTTCGCATGGCTATGGGCTCCAAGCTGCGTCCTTACCTCGGATGCTCTCTGGGGGCTCCGGGGGCTTCGGCCTGGGTCCGAGCGTGGCACTGCTGGCTGGGCGCTCAGCAGCTTGACGTGGTGTCAGTTAGAGAGAACATCAGCTTTAATGCGGCTCTTGCTGGTTTAAGCAGGTGGCAACGGGGCACAGGAAGCTTTAGGCGGGCATCTAGGCTGGGTCAGGAGAGCTGGATCTAACGTGATTCACGACACGTGGAAGCAGGAATGAGAGACTGAGTCTCCAGGGAACGGGAGCTGTCCCGTCGAAGATTTGTAAGCACTGGCTCATGCCTTAGACCCAGCTTTAGCCATGGCCACAGTTGGCACGGAGAGGGATGCTAATATCTACAGATGGAGCTACTGGCAGGAGCCCTACGGAGCGGAAAACTTGGGCTTTGGGAGACAGCGCGGCCCCTCTCGAGGCTTCGTTCCCTGCGGGCAGCAAACGTGGGAGCCACAAAGCCGGGAGCATCCAAGCGGGCGCCTACGCTACAAGCGGCACCAGACTCTCCATGGCCACAGCCCCCCGGCTTTGCAAACAGCGTCCGGCCCCGGGAGGCGCCGCGATTCCCGTGATCCGCCCCGCTCGCCCCCAGCAAGCTCGGAGCCATCCCTCCCACCTCTGCTCATCCTCCTCCTTTCCCGTGATTACACCAGGAGCCCGAGGCTGGATGCAGCCCCCGGGGCCGCCCCCAGCGCGCGGGACGTGGGCAAAGCTGCGGCTTTGTTCGCAGGTGCCGAGCACGGAGCCGCGGCGGCGCCGAGCGCTTCCTACCTTCGGCGGCAGCCTGGGCCGGGACCGGGACCGGGCCGGATCCCACCTGCAGCGGAGCAGTGGCCGAGAGGCCGGGCGCGTCTTGCAGCCAGGCGGGGAGGAAAGAGCCGCGTTACGGGATGCGCCGGCATCGCGCCCGGGGCTGCCGCGAGCCGCCCGCTCCTGCGCTGAGCTGCCCGTTCTCAGCCCCTCCGAGAACGAGGCCTTTCCTGCTCCACGCAGGGCTCTCCGGGGCCAACTGGCCCCTCTCCGCTTTGGGGAAGTTATTTTGAATAACTGACCTGAAGGGGCTTCGGGGGGGAAATGAGTATTTTTGGATAAAATTCCTAAAATCTAATGCAAAGTCCTAGACCCTCCGTCAGGCCATGCTGTTCCCTCAGGAATGGCAGCTAAAGAATTTGCAAGCCACCGATGAGGAATTAAAATGGCAAGAGATTTGGCTTTAGATTAGATTGCCTGTTATAACATATATATATTTATATATTTATTTATGTAAATATAAATCTATTTTTCCCCCCTGCACGCCCTCACCCCCTGCTGGCTCCATACCCCCTTCCCATCTCCTCGGTATTGCTAACAATCTTCAGGTTTGCTAGAAAACAAATCGAGGGATAAAAATTTAAAAGCCATATTATTAATTTCAAGCTCCAGTTGGGTAACATAAGGAGGAGGAGGGAAAAAAAAAATCCCTTGCTCCTTGCCAAGTTTCAAAGGACAAACCCGAGAAGGAGAGAGATGTGATTTCCCAGCCTCAGCAAGGGGATAATAAACAATGCAGAATAAAAAAGAAGAGAAAAAAAAAGATATATTTTTTTAATGACAAGCTCTAAGAGAAGGTGATAGACATTGTCCTTTTCAGCTGGAAAGTGGAAGCCAATTGATATTAATACCGTGTTAAAGAGAATATGAAAAAAGCCCTGTGCAAATTGGCAAGGGCTTAATTAGAGTCACAATAAAAAACAGCCCTGAAGGCATTTTGCTTTTTAGTCATTCACATACACCTCCACTCAATCGCATTCACAGAGCCAGGGAAATTATTAATGCTCATTATCCCAGAACCCTTCCCTCGGATCTTGATGACATTAATGGACAGCTTCCCATTTTGGGCATGGGAGACATGTCTCGCCCCCAGACCTATTGAATACAGAGAGCCGGGCAGCTTCTAGCTACGGGGCTTTGCTCTGCGCTGATGAAAACCCTCCGTCTTGGTGGGTTTCTGGGGATAGAGAATACAGGGCATTGAGAAGCCCCCATTTCCAGCAAAAAATGCTGGGGCAAAAGATGCTTGGAAACGGCCCTGAAGAAGGAACTGGAAAAAGTCATTTTGCTTTGTGGTTTCCCACCAGAACTGGACTGGAACTGCTGGGTTACCAACCACACAGGGGGAAATGGAAGCAGAGATAAAGCTGCTTTTTAGGCTTATTTTAGGCGTGGGGAAAATGTCACGATTGGGAAGAAAGATTTTGACAAGCCTGGGGGAAGGCTTAGAAATAACAGGAGTGCAGAAGGGAAAGGAAAGTAGAGGTGGATTGGGGCCCCGGGGGTAGCCCTGCGGTTCCCAGCACCACGGAGGAGGGAGCAGCGCATCCATCTGCCCTTAAATACCTGGGTTTCGCTGGCTCTCCCGCGCGGGCGCCACGGCAGCGAGCTCGGCGGCTGGTTTGGAGGTGGGCGCTTAAAGTGGGAAGCAGAAATTCAGGAGGTAAAATAGAGAACTCGGGTCAGAGGGTGAAGCAGGGATGGGGCAGGGCCTTCATAGCCTGGTTTTTTAAATATCCTTAAGGCTCCATTGGCTTTAAAGCCAGGTGAAGAGAGAGGTGACGACTGGATGTCTGTCTTTGGCAACACCTTTTCTTTTGTCACCAGTTAATGGACATGTTACAGGAGCCCGTTCTGCCTAGGAGCAGGTCCCGATGGTAACGAACCCCGAGGCGAGTGAGGTTCCCAGGCCCCTGGTGACACTTTGGTGGCCAGGGTGGCCCCAGCACCAGCAGCGTGCGGGCACCTTCGTGCCAGCCCTGCAATGCCCGACGGACACAGGACAGAGCGCTGCAAGCCACGCACACGGGAGACACCGAAATACAGACCAGAGCTGCTGCTGCTAGGGGTGAGCATGGATAAAAATCAAGTGATGTCCCCAAGCGCATTGTGTAGATGGGCTCTGCTGTCACTGCCGGGGTTTGGAGCACCCAGCAAGGGTGGCAAAAGACCCTTGTCCTGCACAGGTGCAACTTGCTCCTGGATAAGGGGCACTTCCAAGCAGAGAAGGACGTTGCCCAGGAATTCACTGCCGCGAATATGGCTCTATTTGCATAAACAAGCAATCAACTTGCCTCATCCCTTTGACTGGCTCCTGGCAGCTCCCCCAGACAGACTGTTACTAACACACCGTGGGTGTAAACCGTCCTCCTGGGAAATATCAGGCCCCGAAAGCACGGCACCTCCGAGAGCGCCTGGCTAATTCCCCTGGGAGAAGCTTAAAGAGAATGTCCTGCTGCTAAGTTGTTAGCCGCTCATTTCCCAAAGAAAAGCGAGGATATTTCCTTGCTCACAGTGGAGGAACCGCGGGAAAAAATGACCCACGTTTTCCCCCTCAGGGTGATTTTAGGGATGAGGGAAGGGTATTTTAGGCTCTTGTGCAGCACCAGTCCCTGCACTGGATGCTGCTGGCAAGTGCCCATGGGCTGGGGGAGCAGCAGCAGATGTGATGGCTCTGATGGACCAGGAGAAAGTTGGGGGCTTCTTCTTGCACCCCAGCAAGGTTGGGCGTGAGGTTTGATTCTTATCAGTCGGACGCTGAAGTCATTGCTTTCCTCACTTGTTCCTGCTGTAGGAGAGCAGCTCCGGCAGGACCATGTTGCTGGGCGGTCCTAAAAGACCCTAGAAGAGATCTGAAAACCTCTCTTGTTGTTGCTTTTCTTGAAGGAAAGGGTCATGCTCTTTGCTAGCCTTGAGGTGGACTCATCATGGTGGTCCTTATGGAAACAGGAGCCAACTCTGGGGCTGGCCCCCTCACCCCAAGCTCCTGCTACCAATGCCCAAAATCTCTTGGAGTGAAACAGGTCAGAACAAGCCAGGACCTCCCTGATGCTGAGGGGGACACGACCACATTCAGGGTGATTTTTATCCATGTCTTTTCACCAGCTTAAATGTACAAAGAACGGAGGCCTGGGCCGTGAGGCACCCACCTGGCTGGGTGGTGGAGGTGGAGGTGCTGGTGGTGGTAGGTGACGTAGTGGTGGTCACTTTGGTGGCAGGACCGCGCTGCGGCCGCTCGTACGCTACCGGGCAAAGAGAAGAGGTGTGAGGAGCCTCCCGAGGGGCTTCGCTCCAGCCCAGAGATGGGAATCCGGCATCTCCCGGCTCCGGAAAGCGGTGCCTGCTCCGAGCCCCAGGCTCCGCGCGGGATCTGGGCGGCTCCAGCTGCCAGCCGGGCCCGCGCGGCTGTGCCAGCTCCTCCGCTAGCACAGTTATTAGCTTAAATACTTAACAGCTCTAACGTGATTGCCAATTAGGCAGAAAAGAGGCAAAAAAAGGCCACTGGTGCAGACGGCAGGAGGAGACCTGCCCCACTTCCATTGCTCCATTTCCACCCCGGCATCCTGCGGGCAACGGGGGCACTTTAATTGCTGACTTAGTGTCACAAATCAAGAAAATCCCTTGATGTGTCGGCCCGGAGCGAGCCCGGTCACGGCGGCTGCAGCTAAAATTACACGTGGGGCACAAATTCCTGCTTAACACACACCTGCTGCCCTCATGTCCTTGTTTGTCCCACTGCTCTGGGCTGATTATGGTGCTTAATTTCATAATAGCCCTTAGCTAGTTTAAATACTTAATTTAGGTCACTTCTTGTCTCCTGTGCAGGCTGCGTAATCTCTCCTTATCTGCCCTCGGCTGCAAATCCCTGCTCTCCGCTTCCAGCACAACCCGGACAATTCCCGCTGCTCTCCCGGCTTCTTGATAGCGGGAAATTTTGATGGGAAAGGGTTTTCCAGTGAAGCAAGAGCAGAACTGAGGATTCCCAGGGAAGCAAGAGAGTTGATTTAACAGTAAGTCCTCAATCGGAAAAGTAAAGAGGATTTGGGGCTATTAAAACACTTCTTTTTTTTTTAACTCCGGAACTACTTTAGAGAGACTTTCAATTTTTGCTTGAAGTTTCTTAAACATTTAGATTCAATTGCTTAAAAAATCTAAATGTTTCCTTTATCCAGAAATGCCAGCCCCTGCTCTTCATTCAGGTACCTTTCTATATTTCCATTGTATTGAAATTACCTGGAACTACACTTTTTCCTCCAGCTCCTCCTGCTTACTTGCAAACCGAGGGATTCATTACTCATTCAGCTCTACAATTTGTTTCTCCTGCGAGGCAATTTTGAGGCGCAAAACCCAGACCCAGGCTCCTGCGTCCCCAAAGCTCAAGGCTCTTTGATATCCAACTACCTCCAGCTTTGTTAAATAAGGAGTCACTTCACACCATCAATCTTTCAGCAGAAATCCCCACCGAGTGCTACCGACTCTGCTGCTGACGCTTCCTGGACACATGTTCCTATAAGTGCACATGTCTATACAGACGTACGCGCGCTATAGATCCTGGTTCCTTTAGGTAGCCCAAGGTGACCCAAACTGGATGCTGCGCCCGAATAACTGAAACCTGGCTCCTTCTCCAAGCAAAACCTGCAAAACCGTGAGGAATTCCCAGGAGCGCCAGTGTTTTTGAAGCACCTTGTTTTCTTTTCTGCTTTTCTAACGAACCTCGTGGGGGGAAACATGCCAGAGGAGGAGGCAAAATGAGGTTGTTGGAGCTGATGGAAAGAAACGTGAGGCTCTCGGACAGAAATGAAGCACGATGAGGGGATACTTAATGCCTGGATGATGATGATGGACAGAAAACAGCCACTGTTTTTACCCCGCACCCCGGCTAGTGACACCCCCAAGGATCATGCCGCTCAGTGCCAACCGCCCGCGTTCCCCTTGTGTTTTTACTTACTGCCGAAGGCTGAGCCCGCAGCGGCGCCTGCAAGAGAGCAGAAGACGGGGACGAGATGCAGCAATTGGAGGTGACAGCACCAGGGAGGACAGGAGGGCCGGCAGGCAGCGAGCGGTGCCCGGTGCCGCCTTTGAAGGCCGGCGGGTGGGAGCTGAGGAGCGCGTTGCCGTTCAAAGGCCCCGCGCGGCTCCGGGCCCCGGCGCACGCAGACATTCCCGTCACGGCCTTCGGAGCCCGCGCGCCGCCTTTGATCATCTTAAAGCACATAAATCTTTCAAAAAGAAACCTGGGAGGGAAGGAAGGAGGGAATGGTGCGCTGCTTTGGTGAGGCTCAAAGCTGCCGCTTGAAAGGATGGAGCGGCTGCCACGGCTCCGTGACATCCAGCCACGGTGGTAACATGAGGTGGGAGAAACCGGCCCGTCTGTGGTGGATGCTGCCCAATTCCCCGACTTGAGGACAGCAGGGAAACACCCGGACTCGTCTTTCTGTGCCTTTGCTTCCAGGGACACTAATCTGTCTTGCCACCCAACGCTGCAGACCTTGACCCACAGAGGTAGGGTTGCAGACAGGGGTAGGGTTGTCTTTCCTGTTCTTGCCTTCATCTGAACTCATCATGAGCTGCTAAAAGCCAAAACCCACCTTTGCATCCACCCGGGGAGCATCTCCTGCCCCTGCGCCCCAGCAGACTGGTAAATATCAGTGCCCTTCTTAAAAACAAGCACCCCGATGCCCCAAAACCGAGCGCCCTGACCCCCCCGAGGACCCATTTGAGACGGCCAGAGCTCCCCGCGAGCTACTCACAGGCGTTGGGCGAGCCGTTGGGCAGAGGCAGGTAGGAGCCGGCGCGCCAGGACCGCGAGCGGAAGCTCTTCTTGCACTTGCCGCAGTCCTGCCCCGTGGTGTTGTGCTCGCACTCGCACTGCAGGCTGCCCTCCCGGAACGTGCACAGGTTGGCGTGGAGGTTGCACTTGCACCTGTAAGGTGGGAGACGTGTCAGTCTGCTCCATGCATGTGAAAATGTAGCTGTGAAGTGAGGCTGGGGAGCCCTTCCCTGCTCTTTTTGCAGGATTTCTCACTGAGATTTTGCAGGTTTTCTCACTGGGTTATCATCCCGATTCCCTTGACCAAGACGGATCTGCAGTCTCCCTTCCAAGATGAGAGAGATTTTTATCTCTACTATGTGACTGCAGGAGCACAGACCCCCCAATGGTAAGTCAATGTCTCAAGCTGGGGTTCCAGTAAGGAGCCACATATGTTTCAGACCAAATAAATGTGTGGAAAAAGGAAAAGGCACCGAAACTGCCTTTTAGCCACCACCTCCTTGGAAAAGCCAATGAGGAAAAACACTATCCAGCAATTTGCAAACATTGACCAACTACTAATGAGTTGTAGTGCAGCATGCAGGGAATAATTGTCTCCGTGCGCAATAATTCCCACTCCTCACAATCCTGGGGTGACTTGTGCGAAGCACAAGGGTGGCCGAGACTGGCTGCATAATCCACATATGGCTCCATCAGCCCTTGGGCTGAAGCTCAGGCCACTAGACATAAACTAAACAGATCAACTGATTTTTTTCCAGAAAATGTATCCTAGGACAGTGCACTGGTTTTCCCTGCATTGTCCATTGCGCGATAATTTATGGTCCTGAAAGCAGAAGCCTTAAAAAGCATTTTTCCCGGTCTGGTGAGTCGGCTTTCAGCTTGTTCCTGTCCGAGCGCGGTGCAATAACATGAGCTCTCGTGCCACTTCTCCTCAGCCCCTTCTTCACTCTGCAGGGCTCCACTCAGGGCTGAGCACCGGCTGCATGGACGGCTTCTCCTCCGGACTACAGCCCTTCCCTGCCTCCCGAAGGGAATATGCACCTCTGTGCTTCCTCCAGTGCAAAGCAGGGTCTCGTCCTGGGGACATCTCGCTGCCTGAGCACGTCAGGACACCCAGGACATCATGCGCTGCACTGCCTGGAGAGGAACCTCGCTCCCTAATCAGGGTAAGCAAGGAAAATTAAATCAGGAGAAAACAGAGCCAGACACTCGCCCTTCCCGCCTGGTCTCGGGCCCCATGTTTCTCAGCACTCGGCTCTTAGCCACAGTACCTGAGTTTTGTTATCCAAAGAATCAATTTTACCAGGGAATTGCTTTCCAATTTTGACCTTTGAGGATCATCAATCTAAGCAGCGTGCTCCTGCCCGAGCCTGCTGACCCCGCAGCACAGCGCTTTGCAGACCAATCAATCAGGCTGCATTATTTAATAGCGAGCCACGGAGGGGCTTCCAGCGGCCCCGACTGCCAATCCCGCCGCCACGAGCGGCTCTGAGCCCAGGCCTCCCCTCTGCCTCGGCCTTAACCCCTTCTCTGCCTCCTCCGCAGGGTCTCCAGCCCAAGGACGCGGTTGAGCGCTGCCCGGTGCCTGTGGCAGCTTCTTCCAGCCGAGCTCCAGCTGGTGGAGACGGGAGCAAATGACATTAGTGCGGTCCCCTGGGCTGCAGCTGCTAGTCCTGCCTGTCTCCACTCATCTGCCTTGGGCGTCCAGCCATGTCGGGAGGGAGAAGATGAAGGAAAAGGTGAGGAGCTGCTTAGCAGCAAGGCTTAAACTGCAGCAGAGGGGAGGACATCTGCTCTGAGCCCTGGGCAAGGCAGCGATGTCCCTGTCCCAGCCTTGGGGACCCTCCAGCCCTGCTCTCCTTCTAGCAAACCCATTAGAGTGCCGGCTGCCTCGGGAGCTGCTCTGAGGAGCTGGCGCCTTCTCTGCTCTCCAGCTGGTGCTTCGGGGCTGGTGCTGCTGGATCTATCACCCAGCAAGTGTCCCGAGCCCTTGAGCGACCTAGGGAAGAGCAGCCCCAGTGCAGACACGGGGGAAGCCCTGGTGTCCCCACAAATGCCCTGGCTTGGGGGAGAGCCGGTCCTTGCCATTCCTCAGCAAAGGGTCTGGTTGCTGGAGCCCCCTGTTCGGCCCAGCATGTCCCAGTCCCATGTCAGACTATTTCCAAGTTCATCCTCAGCGCAGCTCACTCGGCCGCTGCCTTCCCCTCCAAGTGGTGCAATGCGATCCGCAGCTGCCAACGCCTCCAGCAGGGAAGAGCAGGGAGCTTGGAGAGCCAAGGAAAGTTTACAAGGATGTGCCCTTTTTTTTTCCCTTTCTTTCTTTTTTTTTTTTTTTTTTTTTTTCCCTTTTCCAGCCATAAAGAACAGTTTGCGTTCCTGTGAGCCAGCGCGGCGGAGGTCACTCGTGCCGCGGTGCCGGGCGGCCTGGCGAGGACGCGCAGCGCGGCCGCGAGCGCCGCAAAGCTGCAGGAGCCGCGCGGAAGCGGCCGCCGCTCCGGAGCTCTCATTAATAATGGATTTTTAAATAACTTTAAAAAGAAACCCCAGCCCTTCGCTTCCTCTCTAAAGATCCATACGGGTTTTAGAGCCTCCCTTCCGCTCATGACTCTGTCTTGTGGAGCAGGAGGCCAGCAGAGAGGGGCACGGAGCATTTCTCCATCCCATTCCTCCTCCAAGGGCAGAGCCCGGGAGAGCTGCCCCATGCCCTCTCCTCCTTCCCCAACACTCCTAGACGAGGGACAGCAGAAAAGCCACCACCCCGCACCATGACCTCCCTTTTCCACCGACTCCAACCTCCGATTCCCACCCTGTGCCCATCCCGTGGTGCTGGGGGCTCCCTCTTTGCCCCCCAATATCTCTTAGCCCCGGCACCAGGGAGCTGCGCGGCGCCGCTGCTCAGCCTGCCGTCCATGGGAAGGACTGCACGAGCTTTGTTTGCTCTCCCGTAATTGATGAGTCTTTAATGAGCCTCGGGGGACCACGCGTTTGAAGGGAGCTCTTTCCTCCCCATCCCCGAGGAAAACGGTGTTTCAGCTGATCTCGGTTCGCAGGGAAACATGAATAACTCTTCCCCTCTTTCCCTGTTGTCTCCGCGGCCGTTGCTCGTGGCCGCAGCTGCACATTTCCCTGCTTTCTACCTGCTCCTTTGCAACCAGCTCGGCAAAAGCTCGGAGCAAATGTGCTGGGCAAAGCGTGGCGGGCTGGGTCCTTTGCAGTCCGTCTGTGCGAGGAAAAATAGCTTTGAGTGGATGGGTGGCATGAGAGGTGTTCGGTGAGGGGCGTTTCACTGCTTCGAGCGGCTTGGAGCAGGGCAGCAAGGTGCCAAGCGCGGGGCGAGCGCGGCGCCGGCGGCTCGTTCGTGCAGCCGCCGTGCGCGCGAACGAGGCTGCGGTCCGCAAGGCGAAACGGGAGGAAAAGCTCCTTGAAAGCCCCGTTCTGAAGCAACGAGGGAGCTTTGGGGTTTGGCTGCTTCTTGCAGAGCCCAAAGCCCTGTGATCAACGCTAGCCGAGGGAGAGGCCGCGAGTGGTTTTCGTCGCTCGTGCGGTGGGGACGTGCGCGTCCCGCGGCCGGGCACGGCCCCGCTCGCCGCCCTCTGAAATGATTTGAGGTTTGGGTTGCAGAGAGAAGACAAGATGCCAAGATGGAGCGCGTGCTGGCTGGCTGCTCCCTTTAGAGAGGCTATTTATTTTGAATAAGTTGACACTCGCCAGCTGTCAGGATCCCGCTGACTGGTGGAACGTTATTTACATTCAAAGCTGCCGTAAAAAAAAACTCCCATAAAAACAAACTTCCCCGTTAGGGGGTCAGGAAGCAGAAGGGAGGAAGGGTGAAGAGGACATCGCATGGATACAGGAGCGTAAATATTTGCCAAGGAACGTGTATGAAGGCTCCTGGTCTTTCTCCTGGAATGCAATCGTGCCTGCAATTGAGTTCATTGGCCAAATTGAATTTGGGCTCCTGTAGAAGTCTCTTTATATTAAGTGCTTTAACATACATCACCTTCTCAGTCTATTGATGAAATTCTATTATCTGCTCAGGGCCGGACGCAAGTCGGCAATGAAGTGGGGAGGGAAGGGGAAATAAAAACCTCCACAAAACTAAACCCGAGAGCGTAATAGGACCTTGGGCATCTGTCTCCGGCTATCGACAAAGTGTCACGGGCGTCTGGGCAAAGGAGGAGCTTGCCGGGCTTCTTGCTCCCTCCCTCCCTGCAAGTTTCTCCTCCACCTTGCAGCAACGGGAGGAAAACCCATTAAGAGGCTCGTGGAGAGACAAGCGAACGGTTAATTTAACTACATGCCCAAGGTTTTTGCTTGAACTAGAGCTAATTCAAGCCTGGGCCAAGGCCAGGGCCATCCACGTGGGCTGCTCGCGTGGAGGCGCCCGGCGCTTTTGGAGCGAGCCGTGCGTGGGGCTGAGCTCCAGGACGTGCCCAGGTCCCATGTCCCTGTTCCCTGCGTGTCCCTGTTCCCTGCACGTCCCTGCTCGGCTGGGAGCTGGCGGCTCCCGCCTCGGCCTTCCAGGAAAGGCGCTTAGCTGGCGGATCAAAGGCTCATTGATTCCCCTTGTCAGACAAGGCGAGATCGCAGAGGATGTTTCCTCTCCGTTGCCTTTTCCAGCAGATTGCCCTGGAGCAGCCGGGAGGCAGCGCTGATGAGAGCGGAGCCGCGGCTGGGAGGACAGAGCAGAGGCAGCAGGAGCGCGGAGCACCCGTGAGTGTCACCTTTAACTGGCATCACCCAGCGTCCCCGCATCTCCGGAGAGGCACCAGCAGCGCGGGGAGGAGCAGCCCTTGCAGGTGGGCACCGCTCCGCCTGGCGCTTGGAGGGGCTCTTTGCGGGACGGCCTCGATGCTCCGTGCGTGGTGCAAGAGGAGGAGAGCAGCCCGCAAAGATGAACGGAGCAGGGGGCTGCCTTCATTTCTTTTGTAGCTGCTTGAGAAAGGAGGAAGGCAGCGCAAACGCGCAGAAAGCGAAGGGGTAGAGAAGAGAGGTGAGAAGGACAGAGCTCCCAGCTGAACATCAGCCCTTCTTGAGGGCAACTCATTGGCCTCCCCAGAGAGGAGGCCCCATCGCTGCCGCACGCTGCTCCATGATGAGCACTCACAGCAGCAGGACAGATGGACGGATGGACAGACCAAGCACGTGATGGGGCAGGGCAGCAGGAAGCAGCGCGATCTTCCCAACCCAGCCGAGACGGATTCACTTCTCCTCCATCTGATTCTCCCCACTGGATCCATGTGTCCCGACCACGGCACATTAACTTCAATTAGGGCTTAGGAACGTCTCGGTGACACAGCGTGCCCTGCCACGTGCCACGCTGACTGACGGTGCAAAGGGGGAAAAATGACTCCAAAGAAACACGAGTCAGAGACACCGAAAGATCCTCCTTCCTTGCACTGACACTGGCATCGGGAGCAGCTGATTTTCCATATCCTAGGAAGGTGCCTGAGCTTGTGTCTGCACGAGGAGAAAACCAAGCAGTGAATTGAGATCCACGGGGAAAAGTCCTTCCGCTCTCCCCCTCTTTGCCCTGGCCAGCAGGCCAGGCCAAGGGCTTTCTCTTGGCTATTCCTGTCTCGAGTGCTCCGCATCTCCAGTTACGCAGCGGATCGATAGGGACAGGATGGAAGAGAAAGAGAAAAAAAGGATGAGGAGAAAAAAAAAAAGACATCAAGAAGAAGAAAGGGAGTAAAAATAAACTGTCAGCCGCAGGCAGAGAAATGGATCCGGCTGAGGTTGCGGGATGGGGCCCAGGAGGCCCCAGGGTGGCTCCATGAGCAGCATCATCCCCTTGGGTCCCCACGGAGCCTCACCCCTGCCTGCCCAAACCCTGGTGGTATCCAGGGAAAAAACACAATCCCAGGCACCCTGGAGCGGGGAAAGCCTCTCCCATTGGAGCTGGCACCCCAGGGCAGGGGTGCTCTGGGACAATGGCCCTCCCAGCATCACCCCATCCCTGGGCTCCTTGGGGCAGCTTTTTCCCTTCCCACTCATGGCCTCTCTCCTCTGATCACCGACACATGTCCCTTAGTAACACGCACGGATTTATCCGTGCCCTTTCCGCCTCCTTGTCCAGCTGCCAGGCCCGGGCCAGGCAGTGCCGTCCTCCGCTTCCCCGCGGGGGACCCTTGTGGCCACCTCGCACCCCTTCCTCCCTGCTTGCCCCAGCGCCCCAGCAGAGCCAGACACGAGATCCAATATCCCCTCGGCCCTGCCGCGTCACTGCTTCCCAGTGCCCAAACTGCCCACTGGGGCTGGAATGAGCTCAGGAGCAGAGGGATAACTCGTATGGAGCATCTCTGCCTTCCCTGGCACGGCTCCGTGGTGGTGCTGCACGGGAGCCCACCTGCCCACCTTGGACCACGGGAGCCCAGCGCAGCGCTCAGCATTTGGGGGGAAGCAGAAGGTGGCCCTGGCCAAAAGCAGCACTGAGGCTTCCAGCAGCCCTGTCCCACCCACAGTGCAGCCCCCGGCGACTCTTCCTTCTCCGGGGACGGAGCAAATGATCTAAGCAAAAGCTTCTCTTGTTCCTTGGAGCTGCCTGCAGGTTATGAGCACCCGCACTCGCTCACCGGGCTCTGCATGGTAAATTCAGAGGTTGCCACCCTTGCCCGAAGGAGAAGGTGGACGAGGTTTTCCTGGTTGCTGGGGCCATGTGCGGAGCGGTCCCTGTCCACACAGCCAGGCCTCCTGCAAGGATGGATGCAGCCTTCTGTGGGTGCTCTGATGTCTAGTAGAGGTTGCCACTTCTGGGGCATTCAGATGTCTTTTTTTCCCCGTGCTCTGGCTGCCTGTTTTCACAAAACCTGTAGGGCTTTAGTACCTCTGAGGCATCTCTGCTGCTATTAAATGTTATTAAATTTGGACAGGGAGGTCAAAGGCTGGTGGAGGGATGCGGGAGGAGGACAGCTAAGAGCCAGATGGACATTGGTTCGTGTCCTACCAGCACAGCCAGGAAGTAAAAAATGCTCAGGTGACATACGCTGCACAAGGGACACGGAGAAGATAAAGTGACTTTGTGGCAAAAAGCAATCCCGGGACACCGAGAGCCCCAGGGCTCAAACGCTGTACACCGGTGACTTAATTTTAACATGTGCCTTAAAGCTCCAAGTGTCCGAAGGTGCCAGGCAGGGTGGCGGTGCCCGGCTGGCCTGCGCGCTGCGTGTGGATCCCACCGGCGCTCCGAAGCCAAGGTCGCTGCACAAGGACGTCGGCTCCTTAAGCCCCGCTTACCACTTCCTGAGCGCCACACCGTGCATCCCGCTGCCCTCACCCACCCTGCGCATCCATACGGCCCCCGATGCCGCCCGGCATCGATCGCTGCCGCTCCGTGCTGCATCCAGCAGCGCCGCCGGCTCCGCATACAGACCCGGCAGCATTCACAGGAGAGGCTCTTGTTGCTCAGATCGGCCCCGTCTGCGCTGCCCCGGCATCCTTAATGCCTCCTCCAATGGGAATAAGGGGCTCTTCCCTTGCTGGTGCTCCCGGAGCAGCCCCCGTGCCAGTCCCGGTCGCCCCCGTGCCAGTCCTGGTCACCCCCGTGCCACATTTAGGTGCGCAGGGCTCGTGGGGAGGTTGCAAGCGACGCAGGCGGCTCCTCGGCGGCTCCGCTGAGCCCCGCGCGCACGCTGGGCGCGGGGAGGAGGGTTTTGTTCCCCCCTCCTCTCGCCTGCGAGTCTCGCACCCCCTCAATCCACAGGCTGCACGGGAAATTCGCCATCTCGGCACTTTTCCACCTTACTTGGCTTTTTCGCTCGATGTCATAACGTAACATATGGCAGTGCGCGGAGCAAGGAGAAGCAAACGCCCGGAGAAACATTCCCCCCCGCCCGCTGCCTTGCTCAGCCCCCCGGCTATGGGGGAGGCCCGTCCCGTCCCCCCATCACTGCATGGGGTCTATCCAGGAGCCCCTTGCCCCTCGTACCGCTACAGAGCCCTTCATGTGCACAGCAGGAGGAGGGCAGTGCCCCAAGAGCAGAGAGGAACAAGCCTAAACTCACGGGGGTTTTGAGCCCTCCCTGCCCCCAGGATGGGCAGCCCTTGGCACCTGGCAAAGCAGAGCCACGGGAGCTCGGCTCTCGTCTCCAAGAACTTTATGGCACGTGAGGACAGGACGGATGAGCTACGGGGGCGGCAGCCTGGCCAGCCTCAATGACGGTGCCCGGGTCCAAAAGGGGAACCAAACGCAGAGCTTCCCATCCCTGCTGCGAGCTCCCCACGCTCCATCCCGGCTCCGGCAAGGACGGAGCGTCCTGGGCGCGCGCTCCTGCAGCGACCTTGCGCTGCCCGAGCTACTCGCTGCAAGGACGCAGCTGCTTTGCTCCTGGTGCTGGGGAGAGGAAGCACTGGAGGGAGAAAGCCTGGACTGCCAATCTAATCTGTTCCCAGGCACGCTGATGGCTTAGGTTGCTACCAGTGACCATCTACTCATCCCTCCGAGAAGAGCAACCCAAAGAAACCCGGCGGCCGTTACCTGCCGGTGACTTCGATGTTGGAGACAGCGTAGAAGTATTTGTACAGGTTCTCCCGCTGCACGTAGGTGCCACCGAGGGCTGGTCTCAGCAGCCGCATCCTCAGGTCCGTGACGGTGAAGAAGTCCTTGAGGCCCTTGGCACTCTCCAGCCGGGTGTACAAGTTGTCCATGTTCTTGAGGTCAGGGCCAGCGAAGATGGCAAAGCGGTCCCGCACCTCGAACCGCACGTTCTTCTCCTTCTTGGAGCCCGCCCAGCGGGAATATTCCTCCGTGCAGAGCACCCTGTTGGCACTGGTGGCAGAGAGGTCCCTGACCCTCCGTGCTGGCATGCTGAACGCCTCCATGCAGTCGTCCGCATAGTACTGGTAGGGGTGCCAAGTCCTCCCGTTATCCAGGGACTTCTCCAGCATCATGATGGTGGGCCGGCCGTACTCAAAGGTGATCACGATGTCGTCCGTGAGCTCGATGCTCTTGTTCCAGGACAGCGTGATGTTGGCCAGCAGCGGCTCCGGGTAGCGGCGCCACGTCACGCTCTGCCAGTACGTGGCCAGCCCCTCGTCCTCCGTGTCGAACATGAGCTTGGGCGGGTGGGCCAGGTCCGGGTTGGAGGCGTCGCACTCGTCGCTGCACAGGTACGGGTTCTCCTGGAAGAACAAGAGGGGTCACTAGGGAGGAAGGCACCTCGGGGGCATCACGGGCACCCAACAGCACGGCCCAACTTGCCCAGTTACTGTTTTTAGTTGGGTTTAGGTTTGCCAGTGTTAAATGCTCAGCTGAAATACCACAGGCCAGGGGTCTGGCTCTGCGTGGTGCTATTTCCGAGAAGGAATTTAAGACAAAACTATGTGGATTTGCCTTTGTTGTGTCTGACTGAGCTGTTTCCTTTGAGAAACCCTTTGGGAAAGGGCTTTTGCATTCGGCAAGGGGGCAGTTTTCATAGAAAGCGCGTTCCCCAAGACGGTCTCCCTTGTGCTTGGCCGACACAGGAGCCCATGGAAAGCTGCAGTTCATGCTCGCAGGAACCGAATGGCTCAAACCTCCCGAAGTGCCAGCCTTGCTGTGCGTGTTTGAGCCTCCACCAGCTCCTCGTGCTGCAGGAGACCCCGTCCCCAGAGCTGCTCCGAGCGCGCTCCCGAGCCGGGATGGGAGCAGAAAGAGCAGAGACGCCGCTCTGGCCTCCCAGTGCCTCTGCTGTCTCCAAAGGACACCCCAAGGAGAGCATCCCGGCCCCGAATAACCAGGAAAGGACTTGGGCAGAGGAACGAGGAGGGGAAGGAAATGGGCAGCCGATCCCGCGCCGCCTCTCTCGCACCCAGAAAGGCAGCCGGGAATCCTGCAGGCTAAACACGCGTCCTGCCGCGCTGTGTTTGCTGCTTGTACGCGCGCTCTTACCCCGTGGCAAGAACAAGGTGACGTGAGTTAACGTCTCCCCTTGCAGGAGCGCGGTTACACAACGCCGCGCTGCCGGCTGCATCTGGCGGCCCCGCGGGGACCGGCCGCTTCCCAAGCCGCTTCCCAGGCTGCAGGCGAGAGGGAAGCCCCGGTGCCACCGGCGTCTCCTCCCGGGCACCTACTGCCACTTGTGCTGCATCACCCACTGCTCCCGGGATGTTTTTCACCCATGGGTGACACTGCACGGCTGAGCTTTTGTGCCCAGTGGGAATGCGCACATCACGGCCGGGCTAAACTGCTTTACGGGCACTTGTATCACTGAGATCACACAGCAAGATGTGAAAGTTTGGGTGTGCGTGTCAGGGTTATCACCGTGGGGTTTTGCATGGGCAGGTGGAGGCTAAAACCCTTAATCACAGGCTCTTTTTCCCTCCAACCCCTGCCCTGGTGGAGCTCGGAGCTGTTTGGGGATGAAGGAGGGCTCTGCATGCCCTGAAAAACTGCATGGGCCCACTAATGACCGCAAAACTTTTGGTTTTTTTGCGCATGAGGCTTCTCTTTCCTTCTTGCTGTCACTTTAGTGCCCTCTCGGAGCCCAAATCCCAAGGGCCTGAGGGAGCTGGGTCCCTGCAGCTCCCCTGAGGCTGAGCACCTGTGCACGGGAGAAGCTGATAAAGCACCTGGAGCTGCTTGGGGTTGATGAATGGATGGAGGAGAGGGAGAGGAGGACTCTTCTGGGCATGAGCTTGGTCCTGCTGAGCGCTGCAGGGTTGCAAGGTAAGGCCCGGAGGGGCTCTGTGCTGTTTTCTGGATGGTTTGCACTCTGCGTGCGTGCCCTTGTGCGGCTGGTGCTGTGCTTGGGACCGAGGGTGCTGCTGTGGCAGGAGCTGCAGGTTTGGGTGGCTGCAAGAATAGAGCTCCCGGGTGACCGGATTGTGTCTGGAAAAGCCCTGGGGATGGGAGCGCAGGGGCAACAACAACCTCTGAAACAGGCTTGTTCTGCGCTAGGCATCTTGCACGTTTTCTTCCCTTGGGAAGTGGGAAGCTGCCGTTGGAAGCAAGGGCTTGTGCTTTGGAATCTGTGCTTTGGATGCTGATATGCATGGCAGGTGCCTGGAAAAATCCACCCTTTGCCATCACCCCTTGGGCAACGGGCAGCTGCTGGGGGCCTGTCTCGCACCCGCACGAGGGGCCGCGGTGCCTGGCAGGGCTCAGAGCCCGTGGTGCTGAGCAGCCACACAGGGCCCAGGGGAAATGAATAATTCTGCCTTCGCAGCAGCGCGCGGTAAATAAGGAATAAGGTAAATAAGGCCGAGGCCACAGGGAGAGCGCGGCCCTGAGCGCGAGGGAGCCGCCGGCGCGGCCACGGAGCTGCAGCCGTGGGAACGGGGCCTGTAAATAAACCATGGGCTGCAGCGCGGGAGCCCCGGGCACGGCAGCGACAGCTGCTCCAGCTGCTTTGGTGGAAAACAAGTAAATTGCTGGGGAGGTGAAACCTCGGCGCCGTCAGGTTCGGCTCGGTGTCAGGTTTGGCCCTTTACAAAGGGGGAAAATTTGCACCGTTTCCCACCCCACCGTATGCTCAAATATCTGACACAAGTAACGTGCTGCGTGCTGCTTGTTTTTCCTTGCTTTTAGCCCCGAAAAGGGGAAAGCCTCCTGAGTGGGGCAGGTTGCCAGCCAGGATGTTCTGCGCTGTGATGTGTCACCCCGGAGCGGGGATGAGCCCCCTCCATCCAGCAAAGAGTAGTGACACATTTCATACGCGCTCCCGACTCGCCGTGTTCTGGGCAGTTATTATCCCTGCTAAGGAGACTCAGCTCCCTGCAGGGCCCTGGAGCCGCTTCCTGGCACGGCTTTGCCGGGGGCACTGCTAGGAAAGGAAGCAAATCCCTGTCCGCGGGAGCTGGGGGGGTTGGCACCATCTCCCGTGCCAGGGGACATGTGGCAGCGCGGCACGGTCCCGCTGTGGGCTAGCAGAGTGCAGCTGGTGCAATGGGTCGGGCATGGGAAGACCTTCCTGGAGCTCCGTTTTCACCTCCTGTGCAATGAAGCAGCCTCCGGGTGGGCGGCTGATCCCTTATCCAGCGGGGATCTGGTGCGGGGCCGCTCGAGGCTGCCGGGACACCAACGAGCCCAAACGCTGCCCGTAGGATTGTCCCCGAGAAAAGGGAGCAGCAGATGCACAAGCTCTTGTAGATGCACCTCTGCTTAAAGGTGCATGCAAACCTGTCCATGCACCCAGCTCCGCAGACACCAAGCCTAAAGCCATCTCTATCTGACCTGACATTCAGGAGCAGCCTGCGGTTTCATGCGTGTCATTGCTATAGGGCAAGAATAACCTTTAAGTGGCAATGCTGAGAGGTGGGCAGGGCCTCGAAAGCCGCCGAGTGAGTCACGTCATTTACAGCTTCCTCTGTGAAAATGAAGTGTTCCTTTCTGGGGTTTGGCTCATTGAAGTGTCCTTCCTCCTCGGGATGCTCAATGCGTTTGCTAATGGTGGGGTGGTTTGGAGTCAGCCTGGAGGGCAGAGAAGAACGGAAGCAGATGGCCGTGCTCTGTTGGGCCTCGCAGATCGGTTAAAGCACTATTGAAACAATTCCAGGTATTATTTTTGAGGCTGGTTTCCTCATCCAAACCATGTGTCCTCCAAAGAATCTGTCCGGAGTCTCGAGATATTTACGTCTTCGATATGAAAGTCAGAATGCATTAGCCCGTCAAACTTGGTCTCACTAAGCTTAAAATAAAGCAGTTCACTTTGAGTCTTATGCTATTAAATCAGTCGTGGATGTCCTTACGGCAACTAGATGTTGCAGGTTTCCCGCTTTCTGGCTTGCTCTTCCGATTGTGCTTTCTTTCATGTGTGGACCAGAGCGATGTGGCCTTGGTCACCTCGAGCTCGTGGCCCCAAATCATCCAAGGCCCAGGGGCAAAAGGCAGGAGAGGAGCTGAGGCCAAGTGGTGGGAAGCAGCAGCAGAAATCCTGAGGTTGGATGCGCCTGGAGACCCACCCGTTGCAGCACTCCAAACACCTCCCATGGAGATGTTCTGGACCATGGCTGGTCCTAGCCATGTGGGATGATGTGATTTGGTGTCCCGTCTTGGTGTCACCCCAGGGTGCAACACCCTTGCTGGCTCAGCACCTTCAAAACTGCACCCTACAGAGGGACAAGGGATCTGTGCTTGCACGAGGACCTTGCATCCTGGGGTGACACCATGTGGGAATGGCAATCCCGCTGGAGCGAGGTTGGAACATGCGGCAACTTGCTCATAGAGGAGCGATTTTCTAAGAACCAAGATATCAGCCTGGCAAGCAAGGACACGGGAGGACACTGCAGGAGAAACGCTGTCCCACCTTGGTGGCAAGGGAGGGCATGGGGCACAGCGAGGGGCCCTGCTTTACAAAACCCAGCTGGTTTCTAGGGCTCTTGAGGAGAGAACAAAGTTGTTTTGCTTTCTCCCCCCCTGGCAGATAATGCCGTTTTTAAGCCTTCCAGCATAAAATTATATATTTTTGTAGGTGAAATTGCTTGATTAATCATTAAGCTGTTGAATATTTTAAATAAACCAGACATCTGTTGTGAATGGTGAAAGCTGTGCAGAAATAAAACTGCAGCCCTTAGTAGCGTTCCGTGCCAAAGGGAAACTGGAAAAGGAATTACAAACACGAGCTGCGCGGTGAAGAAAAACACCTAGGGTTAAAGGAAAAAGGGAAAATTGGAGCCCCTAGGTGAGCGGATGAGATACAAGTGTGTGCGGGTTGGCTTGAGGTGTCATTGGAGCTCTCGTCACCCCATCTTGGTTGCGGGAGCATTTGGGGACTCGTTCTGCTTTTGGGGACCTGTTCTGCTTGGGGACATTGTTGTGGTTGGGTCAAGGCCCTACACTAAGGTCTTGCCTTGTTATTGGCCTTTTATCTTGTTTCTCTTTTTTAGCAAATGGAGGAGAAATGTCAAAGGCATCAGTTTGGTCCAGCTCTCGTGTGTGGTCGTGTTGGCTGCTGCTGGGTCCTTGTTTCTGTCGTGTTTTTCTGCCCCCAAACTGGCTCTTGGTTGGGACACTTGGGATTGCAGGAAGACCTTGGCTCTTCCCAGGTTTACCCGGGTGCGTTGGGGACACTTGCAGGGGCACCAGAATGTATTTACGGGTCTGGGAAGCTTTTCCTTGATGGCGGGTGCAGCTTTTCCTCCTCCATCCCAGCCTTTCCAGGGTCTGGCTGGCACGGAGAGCCCCAGGGCATCCTCCCCGTGCC